GAGTCGAGTCCAGTTCCCAGGTGTTAATTGTGTGCCTGCAGCAACGCACAAATCCCCAGCGAGCGGACGTCGCGACGCAGCTGATGGCGGCTAATGAAACGCATCGCAATTACAGACGCGTCTGCGGCATCTTAACTAGAGCAAAATCGGTGGGCCGCCAGTGTGGCGCCCCGCTTGCTAGCTTGGCATGCTTCCGCGTAGACAAATGCCAGGGAGTATAGTGGCTGCCCGCCAGCGTTGGCGTTCACAGCCGCCGTGCACAGTGGCCGCATTTATAAACATAATTAAGTTGAAATCATAAAAGCCCCTCAAGGCAAAAAAGCGCATGCGTGCCGCAGTTGCAGTTACAGTTGCAATCACAGCCGAGAGCGCACGACGATCATGACGACGGCCACGACGATGACGATGACGACGACGACGACGACGTGTTGTCAACAGCCTCGTACATTAACAAGTAAGACCCTGAGGCAAAAAATAAAATAAAATAAACAGAAAAAGCAACTCCACCAATCAGCGCATAGCTAAAGAGCGCGCACGCAAGCGCAACAAAGAGCACACGAAAGCAAACCGGTTGGCCAGCTAAGAGAGCAGACCCTGAGTAGAGTTTGACAAAGCTCAGAGTGGTTGTGCCCAGCGGCAATGCTGTCCGCCGCCAGTTAAGTAAGTCAGTCGCATTTTGACGCCTGAAGCGCACGCAACTAACGAGCGGGCCCGAACTCTAGAGAGTAGTAATCGTACAGAAAAATTGCAAAAGTCGTCTTGCGTTTGCGCCGGCGGCTTTGATTTTGCAGTGCATTTACAGAGGGGACGCATCACGATTCTCTTCCTCTGCGTCGTGTGGCGGTTCTCGTTCGTTCGTTCGCTCTCTCCCTTAAGTCGCGTGTTTTGCTCCGCCCTCTGCGGATGCTGCAGGGCAACAAAAACGCCGCAGGACTCACAAACAGACGCGCCAGGCGTTTGTTTAGTTGGTCGCCGTGCTTTGAACGGTGATGAGCAATTGCAGTGTAGCAGCGCTTACGGTAAAATGCCAATTGGATTAAAGAGTGTGTGTATGTGTGTGTGCGCGCATTGGAAAAGTGTAATCAACAATCACAGAGCATCAATTGTGAAAGTGTTAAAAGAAAGAAAAAAGTGATTTAATTGCTTTATTAACAAATGGTAGTAGCAGCACACCAAGCATACAAAATAAGCAACAACAATAATGTACGGGAAAAGAAATTCAAGAAAATTAATGAAAAGCTCAGCTGCAAGTTGCCGCCTTATATCCGATATAAATATTAATAATAATAATAATGCCATTAATAGTATGAAACCAAATTAAATTGCAAAATCAAAAAGTAAAACGCTCGCAAACACCAAAGCTGATTTTTGTTCAAGCTTTATCTTTTCTTCTGCAGCTCAGCTCAGTGTGCGTGCGTGTGTGTGAAAAATTAAGTGGCACATTGTGTGGCTGTGCGTGAAAAACGGAAATAACGGTAAATTACATACAACCAGACAACCAAAATACAATACACAATAACACAAATATATGTATAGTATATATGTGAAAAATATATATTTGTTAATCAATTGAGTAGTGAGTGGTGTGGCGTGGCGTGGCGGCCGCAAAAGTAAAAGTGCAAAAGAAGTACGAATCTGAGATGAATGCTTCAAGCAGCACATTCATTGATAATGCAAGCAATCATACACACACCCAGGCACACATTCACACACACACACACACACATACAGATGGGAACTTGTGATAATATTCCTATGTAGGAACAGAAAATGGAATTGAAACAAGGCATGTGCAAGAGTGAAAATCAAGCAAACAACAAGAGCAATATGTACATATTGCAATAAATAGTACATAATGCAAGATAATAACAATAATAACAACAACAACAACTACTATAACTAGGCACAGTGATAATGGCCAGGCAATGTGACAAAGTCAAACGACATTTTCGAACTTTGAATGCAACGAAACCTCAACCCGCTATCAGTCTGCCTTGTGCTTGTTATTAACAAATTTTGCCTATAGTTCTGGATAAATATAAAAGCACTTTTTATGAATTCAAATAAATACATGAAACTTTAGCAAACTAACTAATTGTAGAGCTCTTAAGGAACCTTGAGAGGTGCTTGGAATGCATATTCAAAGCAAACACAGCTGAAGCAGTTCGAGTGGGATTAAATGGATTTTGTGCTTTATTCGCAGAATCGTGAATACTTACTCAAATATTAATTGGAATAGGAATTGCTTGTATTTCTTGAGTGGCAATAATTTTTTCTAGTAACTTTGCTTTAAGAGATGAAAAATTAGTATCCAACATAACAAAATTTATATTGAATAAAATAGATGTCTTCAGTTGATTATTAGAAACCTTTGCAGAATCTTCAAAACAAAACAAAAAAACAAATAGAAGAGGAAGAAAATGTAGTATTCTTTATAACAATATATATTTATTCTTATTGGAATAACTAATAATAAGGCATAATAGATCTTCAGCTGATTATTAGAAAGTGATCAGCAGAATCTTCAAAACAAAAAGTAATAAATATTTTTTGAGAAACTTTTTCCGTCGAATACTTTAGGCCTACTCAGAAAAATATATATTGCCTAAGTCAAATTTTTTTGACCGATCACTTTAGTACAATTATTAAATATTGGAGATCAGCGTCATGCTCAGTATTTCGGCCTTCATACAGACAAACAAACCAATTAGGATCTCTGATGCTTTCACTCAATTTTTAGTTACAGTGTATTAAACATTGCTTAAATACCTTAAGCATGCAATTGCAAATGCTTGCATTTCTTACGTTAGTGTAGCGCATTCAATCGTTCAAACACACGCCACAAACTTTGATGCGTATGCAGTGCGGCATTCGAATAGAGAGTAAAGTGCACCCTTTGGCGAAAGTCTGCGGTGGCTGCCACACAGCATCCAACGCCAAATGAGTGGAGAGTGCGCGTACTTTGCAAAAGCCACTTCCGGTCATGCCTCCAACACAGCTGAGTGTGTATTGTGGCAGGCAGCCGTATACTCGTACGAGTATGCACACATTTTCGACTCAAAGTCAACGACTTCCGCTCGTGCAGAGCTGCGAGTCGAGCAAATTACTTAATTAAATGGACAATTAACACCCGAGCATCAGCAGAACAGCAACAAAAACAACAACAACAACAACAAGTTTGCCGACAGGAACGAAGTCAAGTCAAAGGCAAAGGCAACAGCAAAAGCTGGCAAAACAATTGAGGCGCACAAACAGTGGGGACGGTAGTTGGGGTGGGAGGGGGAGGGTTTGCTAAAATGAATGAATAATGTATGGAAGAGTGAAAATATCTGTAAATTAATATGCGCACAAGATGCAAATTGCTTGTGGCCAAAGATACGGCCCGACGATCAGAGAAGCAGCAACAGCAACAAGTGCAACAGCAGCAGCAGCCGCAGCAACATCGTAAGTTGCGGCAGCGACCGCAGCGTTAAATTAACATAAATTGAATTGCATTTGCATTTGTGGCAAGTGCAGCAATGATCATCATGATGGCGATTATGATGACAACGGTTGCACGTTGCCGCTTTTGCGGTTTTTGTGGCCACATCGTTTAGGTTGTGGCACATCGAAATGTTGCCACACTTGCTGCTGCTGCCGTTGTTGTTGTTGCTGTTGTTGTTGTTGGGCAAATGCGTGTCAATTAGTATTGTTGATGCACGGCCATAGACCGCTTTTAAGCTGCTTCATTGAACGTTTCGTATATGTTTCGATTCCATTCCAGCTCACAAAAAGAGCAACGAAATTATAAAAAAACAAGAGAGAACGCTACAGTCGAGCAAGCCCGACAGTGTAATACCCTGTACCCAGGTAAACTTCCGTCACTGAGTTATATGCGCCCATAGCAGCAGCAAAAAGAGGAAGAAGAAGAGCGAACTTGTTGCTGCAGTTTGGGGGGGTTGTACTGGCGAGGATTTGTTTTGCTAATAACTTTTCTTAAAATTGACCGAATTGAATAAAATTTTATACAACAGTAGACAATTGTATATTAATTATGTGTGCAAAGTTTGGTTTAGGTAGCATTTGAAATGTGGACGCTATTGACGAAATTCTGTAGCGGGGGAAGGGGGGGAAAATTAAAAAAAAAAACATAAACTCGTCCTTACTCGGACCTAGGAGAATCTGGATGCCAACTTTGGTTATTCTAGCTTTTATAGTTTCTGAGATCCTCGCGTTCATCCAGACGGACGGACAGACGGACAGACGGACAGACGGACAGACGGACGGACAGACGGACGGACATGTCTAGATCGATTTCTCTCGTCATGCTGATTCAGAATATATATACTTTATGGGGTCGGAGATGCTTCCTTCTGTATGTTACATACTTTGCACAAACCTAATATACCCTTTTTACCCTACGGGTACAGGGTATAATAACAATAATATTAACAGCCACGGCATATCAAGTGGAAGTGTAAAGTGTATACAAAACAAAATAAATGTGTGTGCGTGTATGCCACATGAATGAAAAGATATACACAACAACAGCAACAACAACAACAAAGCTTTACAATAATAATAATAAAATTCGTGATAAGCCAGCAACACCACAGCACTAATAAATAGGCAAAAAAAAAAATGTATGAAAAATGTTTCAAATACAAAAAAACTTATAGCTGTGCAAAGCGTTGACACCACAATAACAAAACAACAAAGCCACCAAACACCAATAATAACAACAACAAAACAACAGCAACGACAACAATTCAAACAATGTGTCAAATTTGTGAAATCAAAATATACACAGATATTTTATTCGGGCTAATTAAGGGCCAACAGTTTTGAAGTCTGCGAGTACAGCAAATTGGAAATTTGTGCGCAAACTTAAACCCGCACACTTAAAATAAACAAAAGTAACAACAACAACACAACTCCAGCTCAGACATTAATTTGTCCGATCCCCAACCAGCATCCTTCGCAATAACACCAACAACATCACGTTGAAAAACGCAAACAGAATGTACAAAATGCTTAGAAAACATTTTCGGCGAAAATCAGCAGCAGCAACAACAACAACAACAATAGAAGCAGCAGCAGCAACAACAACAACAAATACAACAATGTCGACCAGAAGGCGAACAACGACAACAACAACAGCAACAGCGACGCGAACACTGATCGACAATTGTCGATCATTAAAGTCTGCCTGCAACTTAATTGCTTTAATTTTAATATTGTTAGTCCATAAGGTAAGCAAAGAAAACAAGAAGACAAATTCACACAAGAAAAAGTAAATTGAAGTGCAAAAAAAAGAAGATTACAAATCGCAACACAATATGCGGGTTCGACTTACCAGCTAAGTTGACTCTTCGACAGATTCTTGGGCAGCCGCCATGGGAACGGCGCAGCTCGCGGCTGATCGGCTTTGGACTGCTGCTGAGGGTTAACAGGCGCCCAAGGCAGCAGCAGCAGCGATTGTTGCCGGCAACACATCGTGGGGGCTAACGGGGTACTGGCCAGTATGTAGTTGGTCAGTATGTAGTTGGTTTGATTGGGTAATCGATTTTTGAACTACAATTTGAGATGATATTTCATTGCTAAGTGTGGTACTAAATTAATGCCGGATCTAGATGAAAAATTTCGAGATTGTAATTGAGATTTGATTGAAAAAATAACTACAACTTAACATTCATGCCAAGTATCTCTTGATCAAGAACATATATTATTGTTCAGATCTCATAAACCTCTTTCTGGATGTTACAAAAGTGAACAAGTAGAGCAATCTTAGAATATCGATACGACAGTTATAGATCCTGGTAGCATACTAGAGCACACATGACGTCCTATAAGCAAAGATAAAGGATTACTATCTGTTTCAAAAAACTTTTGAATTGAGTGTAGTTGGAGCCGATTGCCCTTTACGAAACATTCTTTAAACATACCATGTATGTTAATCCAGAAATATCCAGTCTATATGCTCGTTGAATAATGAATGCATTTCAATCTATAAAATGACTTTAAAGGAACAACTTCGTTTACTCACCAATTCATCTTCTAAACAGTTCGGCCTATTTGTGCTAAGCATTAAAACAATAATTATTATACAATTTTTTAAAAATGAAAAAATTTGAATACAAACACTTCGCTGTCAATTGGATTTTATTATGTCCTTGAAGCAACATTTTCCTTTAAATATATATTTATAGTAAATATGAAAAGAAAATAAAAAAAACGGAAACTAAAATCCATCCATACAAGTATATTGACTGTCACAATAGAATTTGTTAAGGATTTTTAAAATTATTTAATCATTCATTAAATTATATTATTAAAATTATTTAATCATTCATTAAATTATATTATTTGCACATAAAAGAAATTTATTTAGTTTAATTAAATCCATTTTTGAGCTAAGCGGCAGCTCAATTCCGTGTCATACTAGTCTTAGAATCGGAATAAAAACTTTTAAATTCTAAATAACTTTACATGTGTGAGAATATCAAAAACAGGACTAAAAGTTTCTTTAAAAAAAAAAAATTATGAACATAAAATTAAAAATGGCATAAACATGCAAAGTTATTTTGCACTTTCATTATTTAAGGAAGCATTTCAAAATATTTATTCGGAATTTGAGAGTATTCTCTCACTTTAACGCATAGTTTTGGGTTTTTCATATAAACTATTCATTCTTTTATATTGCAATCGTATTAATTGATTATTTTTTGGTTGTTAATATTTAATAATCGATCATACAGGATGGAAATTAGACATTCGCTGGAATTTTCGAAGAAGCAGTGCATAAAAGAAACAATGTTTTCATCAAAACAATTCGATTAAATATCAAAAGAATTCAATTGCCACTAACGGCAATTCAATATTATCATCCAATATTAAAAAGTAACTTGACTTTTGTGTAACAACATTTGTGCACAGTTTGACAAAATTACAGCCCTTTGGAAGACTTTAGTAGAAATGTTAAGTACTTAGGAAGACGACAAACTATTCTTAGCGTCAGATGACAATAATACGGCTTAGTTAAAAATATGTTTAATATTATGGGTTATTTAGACACACACACACATTCCATATATAGCGAACTGTCAATGTGATGCTACCATTAATATTATTCCGATCTCTCTTGTTCATTTTCTCCATCAGCCCAGAATTTATGAAGCCATTTCACTTAATCGTGTGAGCGTGAGCTCAAATATGCCAAAGTTTCTATTTTTGGCATACGCATTTAAAAGAAGACATTAAAAATTAATATTGGGCGTTTCTTTATTTGTCTTAACGAAAATTTGTGTTTTTTTTTTGTTTTCAATTTATACGTTTATGTCGACATTCCTTCAAATCCCAATTACCTGATGTTGATGCGCCTCACAAAATCTACCGTTTTCACATCAAAATTCATTGGCCTTGCCGCTGGCGTAATCAAAGCCTAACATGTTCCCATAGCGCCAGCCAAACCAAACCAAACACCAGCAACAGTAGTCCCTTTTGGGTCTGCCCACCATAAAGTGTTACACAAAGTGCCTAAACATGTATTGAGATGCCAGAGAGATGTTGCCTCCGACGAGGCAATTAAACAGCAACAACGTAGAAAAATACATAAAATTAATCGTAGCTGCAGTCGAATACATAAACACGGCAACAATTTGATTAATACGCGAGAAGCCAACAAAAAAACAAAAAACAAAAAAATTGGATAGGTAGATATTAGAATTTCGAGACTGGACTGTTGCTGTTGTTCTTCTTCTTTGGTCGGCAATCAAATTGATTACACACATTTATCTACAGAGCAGGCAAAAAGGTAGTTGGGTAGAGAGCCGCGGAGTCAAGGAGCATTGCATTGATTTGGGCTAAGCCCAAACGATAAAAGAGTCAGCAATGAGAAATATGCTGGCCTAAATGGGCGGCCGTTTGCCGTTTGGGATCCGGTTAACAGTCGGTTGCCTGCAACTATTTAGTTGTTAATTAGGCAAATAAAACTTAAATATTTTGTAACAACAATTTATAGACTGCTTCCAAAGAATTTCCTTAACGGTTGATCAACCACTGGCCACTCGCCACTACTGACTGTTTGTCTGTTTCTTTGTCTGACTGACTGTCTGTCTGTCCGACAGCTTATTGGACTGGCAGTCTGTTTGTTTTTCTGTCTAATTGACTGTCTGGTTGATTCGAGTATGTCTGTTTGTGGAATGCAAGTTAAGTAAATCAAGTGTGTATCGTAAAGTAACAGAAATGAAGCTTAAAAATCTAAAGAACAAACAAAAATAAATATCTAAATAAATGTTAAATCTTCGGCACTTTTTCAAGGCTTCAATACAAAAACAGATAAAGATTTTACTACCGGTCAGATCAGATATGATCAGATTGAAATTATCTCCAAATTGCATTTGTTAATTATTACTACCTCTGTTTGGTCCTCTCCAGTGGGTCCTGCTCTGAAGTGACATTGTCATTGGACATGCCATATTAACCCAGTTTGTAGATTTGCATGCCGGAATGAGGCAGCATTCGGGCGATATGCTTAAAAGGTTCAGATGCTCATAACGCCTGACATTTATTGATCATAAGCTGCGTATTAAACTGTCGCGGCCACCGTTGCGCACACTCGTACCCATGAAAATAATAATATTTCGAAAGCCATCGAAATGAGTTGGCGAAACGACTGCTCGCTCCCACGATCGATGCCAACTTCGACAACCAACCACAACGATGGCGGCGGCAACTTTGTTTGTTTTTGCCGTATTTATCGCGACGTTTTTAGCATCAACAAAACGTTTTCAGAGATACTATATACAAATGTATTTACTCGTACTCGTACGTTTGTGCACATGAAATTGTCTTGCAGTTGTCGGCTCATTAGGGCTAAATGAACAAAGGCCGCTGAAAATTTAATTAAGATTTTACATCTCATATAAATTAAGCTTCATTAAGCGGCGCCACGCACTCCAAGTTGCTTTCCAATAATCAACACACATACAATCGAATATATATATTTACGCTTCCTGATCGATCCGGTGTTGAATAAAATGAAAATAATGCGTAAAGTGTAAATGGGATGTGTTTTAAATGCTCAGAAGCAAGCTGAGATGAAGAAAGTGGGTGCATTTTAGGATTTTCTACCTTCTATCCTTTCACTTTTGAAAATTCTTTAATGCAAGTTAAAAATGGTTTTATGATTTCTTATAAACAATCAGTTTACAGACCCTTTATTGGTACAAGGGGGAAGATAAATTAATATTGAAACTTTTATAGAAATATATAAAAAAAAATAGATTAAATTAGTTGGAAGAGGATTTGCATAGACCAAGAGTATATCTTTAATTTAGTTCTGTATTTAATTATTTTTTGTTATTTTAAGACTAAATGGCAGACCACATTTTAAATTTATATAACATATATAAAAAAACATTGCGAAGCTAGATTTGTCTCATCCATATGCAGAGCAATTATAGTATCATTATTTTATACATATTGTTTATGAATATTTAGTACCTTAATATGGTATTTAAAAGTTGTGATTAGTATCTCATAAAGTTTCATCTCATGGATCAAAGTTTTAGTTGAACGACTACATGAGAGAGTACATGTACAAAAGTTTCATTCGTTATTAATATACTCTATATTTGTTTACTTTATAGGTCAGTACCTCAAAATCATGAAGACTAAATCAAAAAAGAAATTCAATATTAGATAATTACTTTAAATATTGGCATGCAGGAGAAACATAGAAAGTTTTTAAGTAAAAATGAAAAGGTTCATTTCAATTTTTTTTTTCAACTAACATTATTTTGAATCATTTGTTATTGTTCAAGTATCAAATAAAGTTTCAGTTTATGTTTAAAATCATAACAGAATCTTAAGAAAAAAGTTACTAGCTCAACATTAATTCTTTGAATGTTTATTTAATTGATAATTTAGAATAATTTCATAGTTAACGATTACAGATTACTTATAGAGAAGTTACCCCGAAATAGTTGAGTAACAGATTCGTGTCCTGTTTTCATGAAAAGCTCAAACGATTCCCTTCCTAATTAAAATCATTTCGGTATTTATTTCTTTCACCATTTCCTTCTCACTGTACAGAATTTGTGAGAAAATAATGTTAGCGCCGCATTACTAATTTACCGATTGCCACACGTGCTTAGACATTTCATAGGCATTATCTAATCGAATTGATTACGTCAAAGTTTGTCTCAAATATAAGCGAGTTGAAGATGCAGCTGCCAGTTGGCAGTTGCAAGTGCAAGGAGTCCGTGGCATCATCGGCCGTATACGTACGAGTATGAATGAAAAGCCAAGCTCAAGAGCAAGGCATAAACTTAATGTGTGCGGCTGTGCAGCTGAAGAAATGTGATAAATAAATAGTAAGCAAGGCACATACGTCTGCTACTATACTCTACTATATATGCTCAAAAAATATACATACATGTACTATATGCACGAGTATGCGGAGAAACCGGTTCGTTTGCGCTTCGATTAAGAACGAGATGTGCGCGGCACGGAATCCAATCAACTTGACTGCCTGCCCGACTCTCTGACTGGCCAAGTGGCACAAGTGGCGGTGGTGGTGGTGGTGATGGCGATGGTGATGGTGGGGCACTGACCAAATGTGCAGTCGCGGCAAACAAAAAGAAGTCACAAGAAAATGCTAAGAGGAGCAGGAGAGGCTCTGAGAATGAAGCAGCACCAGCACCAGCAGCAGTCAAGAGGCGGCTGTCCGGCGGGCAGTCAGTCAGTCAGTCAGTCCGTGCCTGCATTGATTGATCTATAGTCTGATCAAAGTTGCACGCTGCTCGCCACAGACGAGCCAAAGAAGTTGATGTTGAAGTTGAAGTTTTTGTTGAATGTTGGCTTTTGAATCTTTCGCACAGGTGCACATTTGCTTTTGCTTTTCCTACACAAAAGCTGGCTTTTTCTGCTTCTTTGTTTTTTTTTTTTTTTACCCCCCAACCCGCCCTTTTGCAGTCGCATAATAAGAAAGGCGCTCTACAGGCAACAGAACCAAGTGCGTTCAAGGTGTGTTTTAGTGTGTGTGTGTGTGTGTGTACCGTTAGTGTGCGGCAAAGCAAATTGCAATTTATTTCTAATAAACTTATCAACGACTGCCAGCTACCACAAAAGTTGCGCCAAACCATACTAGTTGACAATAAATTTGCTGAAATATGAAACCATAAAAGTTTGCCGCAAAGTCGTGTGCAAAAAGTTAAAAGTTTTCATTAGCATATATTTTTTTTTTCCATCATTGCCTGCGGAACAGCCGCACGAAGGAACCCCATCAGCATCGCCTTGCGGGCTTGTAATGAACTCTAAAATACAAAGTTGATGGCATTGATGGCGAATCTCTGTTGCAGTAGCTTCCAACCACACTCTCTAGCCACTGACCACGCACTAACTAAATTATGAGCGGCCATTAAGCTGAAATAGTTAAACTTTATGCGCCATTTCTCAAAAATGTGGAAGCGCGTTAAGTGCAACTGTGGACCGAGCTCCGATCGACCAGCTGCGGCGATCTAATGTGTTATTAATTTTATGCGCGCGGCAAATCGGCAAATGTGCCTGCTTATCGATAGAGTCCAACTTCAGCTCTAACTCAAATAGCTTCTTCGTTCGCTTTGATTTGCGACTGTTGTTAGGCTCCCATGCAGCTGCCACGGCTGCCACGGCTGCCACACAAAAGCATTCTAAATTATGCAAGCTGTTGGATATCTCGTTTGATTAAATGACCCAACAATAGACGAGCCCGGGACTCGTGTACAGTTAAAACGCTTTGTGTTTAAAAATATTTCTCATTATTTTCGTGTTTCATTTGTCGGTAGATTTATCAAACAACAACAACAACAAAGAAATGCAAGCAAGAAAGAAAAGAAACTCCGACTCCTTTCCTCATTTACCTACCAACTTTTTCTCTAGTCTTGCCTGATTTTCTTTCGTGTTTTTAATTAAAACCTCTACCATGGTCCAATCAGAGCGCCCTAGGTGGCTTATTAGCTTTTACAACGAGCAAGCGCAAACGATCCAACCGATCAACCGAACAACCCAAGGAACTCAGCGGAGTGTTGAGCACATTATTATACTCGTATATAAGTAGTACTTATATATGTATGTATATTGCATATTTGTACGCTCAGTTTGTGGTTCGTTATGGGCCATGATTGATTTGGGCGATTTTTGGGGCAATTTAAAATTTGTTTATATATGTATGTACGTAGTACATGTCTGTCTGTCTCATGATGTCTAATGATGATGATGTTTGTACCTTTCGCCTATTTACAGATAAATGCGGCCGGTAATTTCGAGCTGGAGATATTGGAAATTTCAAATACCAATAATCATCTGCTGAGCGGCTATTGCTGTGGCCTGCCAGCAGAGCTGCGCGGAACCAAAACGACGGGTAAGTTGCAAGCACTCCCCAACATGCATGCCACGAGTAAGAACACTCAAGCATATCAGTATATCATTTTTTATGACATAATTGACTTTGTTTTGTTTCCCGAATTATATAAATGTTCTTATCTCTGACATTGAAAGCATGCAAAGGCTGTTGTTTTTATAAGCATACTTCAAGTATATACACACATTTATACACACATTTTTCTTTAAACTTAAAGCAGCAGTGCTGAACAAAATAAAAACAAATACATTTGTCTTAAAGCGGAAATAATGCACTGTATCTATAATATACATATATGAAATATTTAAAAGCTAGAATAGACGATTGTGTTCAGTTTTTAATGAACCAAACAAGGCTTCTGTTTAGTCTTGTAAGTATTTATAAGTTAGTTAGTAAAGAGGGAACAGTGAGCTGTATTTTTTGTTTTTTTTTTTTCAACTCTTTAGCGAAGATGTCTTTGTTTAGTTTCAAACATCTTTGTTTAAATAAATAGACTTTAAAGCAACTTAAAAATGTTCTCTGTTTCTACTAATTTCCGATCATTTAAGTTAGGGCGATGCAACAAAATGGAAAATAATGTTAAAACTAAATTTAACGATGAAGCTATCCAGCTGGTACAATATTTTGCAATTAAGTACATAACTTATGTAAGCGGCTTGTCACTTATATTTTAACCTGCTAGAGATAATAACTAAGAGGTTATTAGATTAGGCACAAAAAAACTTTGAAATCAAGATAATGGTTCTAAATCAAGAGCAGGACCAACATTTAACGTAAATCAAAATAATGAAGCAAACCAGCTGGTACAATGTTTTGCAATTAAGTACATAACACATGTAAGCGGCTTTTCACTTCGAGCTATATTTTAACCTACTAGAGATAATAACTAAGAGGTTTTTTCCATTTTAGGGGACGTTAATAGATCAGTCACAAAAGAGCTTCACTCGAAAACAAGAGTTTGAACGGACTTTGGCGGAATTCTAGAAGTTAAAGTAAAGGACTAGAGAGAGTTCATTACAACCTCTCCATCAGCTTATGCAGCTTTGATTTATTTATGATACCAGTCCCAGTAGAAGCATTTCCATCTTAATTGTGATCTTTCAACATTTCTATTCCAACAATAGTGCAGCAAATTATTGTTTATAAATTAATTAATATTTACTCGATTTAATAATTACTGCTATCTTTCTAATTGCAGGCTGCTCACCCTGCACTACAGCGTTTCGTTTGTGTCTCAAGGAGTATCAGACAACAGAGCAAGGGGCGAGCATATCAACGGGTTGCTCCTTTGGCAACTCCACAACAAAAATCCTAGGTGGCTCGAGCTTTGTGCTCAGCGATCCTGGTGTAGGAGCTATTGTGCTGCCCTTCACATTTCGCTGGACGGTAAGTTTTCGTCGAAATTGAAACTGAAACTGTAATTGAGGAAATCAAAAAAAAAAAAAAAACAAGAAGCAAACTGCAGCCAACAAGAGCCAGAAACCGTACAGCGCACACTTTTGGCACGCGCTGATAAGAGGCCTATTTAGTTATATGCCCCGGGCTGGTCGTAGTCGTCGCTATTATGCGGAATGTCTAGCGATAAGACACAAACAAACTGGCTGAACGAATGTGCTAAAAAGTCTGATAAATTACTTATAGTATGAGCATGCATCATTTGGGATTTAACGCGCCTTCTCTAGATTCCTCAGCACTCGTTGTGCGCTGTTTGTCGCTTCCGGCAGCCGAAAAACGAGTAGCGTGGGCTGTGATCTGTGAGCTTGCCTAGATATTTTAGTTGAACTCCTTCTAAATATTGTATATACTTATTAACTGTGAAAATGTTGACTCATCTGGGTGCCAATAAACCGAAAGAATAAATAAATCACAGTCAAGCATCAAAGCGGCTTAAGTTGCTGGTTCTTGGACTCTTGGCTGATGTGGATGTTGGTCTTGGTCGTGGTCTTGGTCTTGGTACAGCCCGAGTGGGTCCCAGCCAGGCCTGATGTGCTGTTGGTGGTAGGCAGAAAAAAAGCAATTAAAAATTATGTTTTATTTCATTCGGTTGCTGCGGTTCGTTGGAGTTCCTAAGCTGCTTTTTAGTTCAGCATGTCTGTCTGCCGTCTCTTTGGGCTCCCTGGCTCTGGCATTAATTAAGTGCGCATAATGCGGGCTTATGACTGCTAAAACGTGGCATATTTGACTGTTTTTATTATGTTCTGCTCCGCTCTGTTCTGTTCTTGTTTTGTTCTGTTCAGTTCTGTTCAGTTTAGTTCAGTTCGCTGGTGCCTTGCTGTGCTATAAAAAAGTAATCCAGCTGCCAAGGTAAATGTAACTTGACTGGGCGTAGCAGCGAGTTAAGTTTAATTTTTGTTCAAAAACGGCAAATGTTTTGGTAATGTACAAATACTACTTATATAAAAATTTACTCGACGGCTTTTAGTACGTGTCTGTGTCTGTGTGTGTGTGTTAACAATTACACGCCTTCGTTGTCGTTGTCGTCGTCGTCATCGTCGTCAGCGTCGTATTCGTATTCGAGCCGGCATGCCAAGCAAGCAACTAATGGTTACCATAAGGCAACGTGCGCCGCAGTTGCCGCTGCCTCTGCCTCTGACGTTGCCATGCGCATGCGCCGCCGTTGCACAGTGGAATAATTTCAATGTTTCAACAAATTCTTCGCACTTAATTATATTTTCTGTGCCTTAGTCGTTGCTATTCTTGGCTATGTGGCTATGGGTAGTGAACTATAATCCTCAATAATTCTGAAAAGGCGAATCTGATTTTTTATGTCAGCGGATTTTCAAAAATGATTTTCGGCTTTATCTTGAGAAATCTCTACCTATAACTCACGATTGTGAGGGTGAGTATCAACATCTATCTGCGGCAAAATTCGTTAAACGGCAGCTTAGGGAATGAATTGTTGAAAATAGTCTAAGAATCTGTTGTTATTTAAACTAAATCGACTGAGATCTGTTCGTCGACTGAGCTCTCAGGATCTCTGGGAACATACTCATAATACTTAATTTTGCGCCAAGCCTTGCATTGCAGTATTTAAATGCTATTTTGCGACTGTAGCATTATCTTCGGATAGACTAAATCTACTGAGATCTGCTCTTCGATTGAGCTCTCAGTATCTCTAGGGAGCATTATCTTCGGATAGACTATGTAAATCTACTGAGATCTGCTCTTCGATTGAGCTCTCAGGATCTCTAGGGACAAAAAGCGTGCCAGTCAGAATCCTTTATTTTGCGCCAAGTCTTATATTGCAGTATTTTAATGACATCTTGCGACTGTAGAATTATCGTTTGATAGGCGAACAATTTAAGACAAAGTGCGGATATTATTTATAATATGTATCTGCTACCATAATTTTTAAATGGTTTTGAATTCCGTAAAGAGTTATGTGCCTTCTAAACATTTCAAGCCCAAGGTCTCCTTTGGTAGAAGAAATGTTGCAAGACAATTGTATGAAGCTTTCTTTTGGTGACCCTTGCAATAAATCGCCTAACCACGGTGCATCGTTTACATTAACAGGCCGCTTTGAGGCGGCCATGCGTCAGCACTGACGGTGTCTTGGGCTTGGGTCTCCGTCTGTCTCCTGCCTGTCGGGCAGTGCGCGTTCTAAGCGACGGTGGCAAGTTGGCGGCGTGTCGTGGCCTGAAGTGCGGACAACCTGTTTCGTGGGAACATTACCTTGTCGCGCTTGTCGCTCGGTTCGGCTCGCCCGATGGCGATACGTTACGTTATGCTTCGCTTTGGTTTCGCTTTAATCTTTAGCTGCTTTTTGGCCAAACGTTCGCCAACTCACACACGTAGTTAAAAGATACACACAAACACATAGTACGATTGAGTATGTCTGTCTATATGTATAAACGAAACCTGCCAAATGTTTGCACTGGCGGTGGCGATGGCGATGGCGCTGGTGGATGGTGGCTTGTGGCTGTTGGCTGCCTGTGCATATTCTGCATATTATATATTTACTTGGGCTTACTCGTAAAGTCAACATCAAGAAGCCTTTCACAAGATCACGTAATCTTCAATATCGAACTGGCGAGCTCTGATGCGTCGTCGCAATTGTCCCACTTTTTATTGAATGACTTTTTTCCAGCTGTACGTACATATGTGATTGAGTGAATGGCACGCTAAAACTTATAAACATGACTTATGAAATACTTCAAGCACTCGGCTACAATTGAAGCAGCAGCAACTACAACATCATCAAGCCAGTAACCAGTAACCAGCAACCAGCAGCCATCAACCATCTACCATCAGACCATCAGGCAGCAGTCTCTGTGCCTCAGTTGTTGTTGCTGCTGCTTCAATGTAACTGTCAAACTCCAAGTCCCATCGAGGCATTGAAAAACATTGAAAACAACAACAACAACTACAACAAGAGCAACAACAATCAATTTCACTTGACAATATTTTTTTGAACTCTTGTTTAAGTGCGCGTGAGCAATCGTTGAAAAATTCTCAAGTGGATTTTGCTGCTCTTCGCTTCGAAGACTTGCTCCACATTTTAGGTTATCTGTCTGCTTGTGTTCCAGTTTAGCGTTGGCTGCCTCCATGCATGTTCGCGTAGATCTCCCCAAACTACGAATGTGTAAATATGTGCTCCATATAATAATTATATATGGATGTATAAATGTATGTGTGTATGTATGTAGACTGCCCACACATCGAGCTACAATGAATGTCCAGCTGCCCACTTGAAAACCATTCGGACGCTGCTCTTGTGCTTTCGTTTCTGTAATTTGTGCGTAAATAGTCCAATGTCATTGATAAAAGTTTTTCTCAATCTTATTATTATTTTTATTATTTTTGGGCACAAACTTGTTGTCAAGAGTGTTCTCAGCTCTTAACAGTGTGTAAACAAGGCAAGCAGCCAATTGAAATGCCCGAATATGTGCTTCAGATCGCCGAACTTTGTTCAAATGCAACTTTCAATTGAAGAATTTTATAATTTCGGTCATCCGGGTTTCCCACATTGTTGCAAATATATACAAGTATATATTTTGCATTGTACATAATTCTGGAGACAAGGAAAATCGGTTATTGGGAAATTATTATAAATGCTTAAAAAATGTTGATCAACTATGTAGATTGATAGTTTCTAAAGGAATGTTGTGATATATTTGTCATATGGGGCTTCAAGAGGTAACCTTACACAGTCAAAATAAATTGATTTGCTCCAAAATATGGTGATATGCGTGGATGATTGATGCATAATATTACTAAGTCTGTTACAACTAGACTCTGCAGTCTGCAAAACCACGAGATGTTCAGATATTCAAACGAACTCGGAAGCATAAGCACAGACTTCCAAATCAGCAAGTTCTAATAACCATAATTCGGACACTATTATAAACCGCCATTAATTCAAAGTTAAAAATGTCCTATGCACGAAATTATAAATCCCACAAGTGTTCAGCGAAAATATGTAGAAACGAATACTGAAAAAGTTTGGGAAAGACAATTTGTTCCTTAACTTATATCTGTTGCCAAAAACTGAAGCTAGCACAGTGCATTTACTTTATAATTATGTTTTTAATTTTTTAATCTAATTCTTGTTGTACCATTGAAATCATATTAAAATAGGTATAGTAGTAGTCTGGGGAGAGTCACAACGTATGATGTATAGTATATTGTTTATCAAAAACAAAACAACAATCACAACAACTCTCTTAAAGAATCTATACTGACTATTGTTTTCATTTACAAAGTTGGTTTTTATTTTAGTTGCACGCAATAAATTACATAAAATATGGATACGTTTGAAGCCTTTGGCTAATACAGATATCAAAAGCGAAGCGTTTAGCAGTATTTATAATGTGGCGTTGCCTTTTACTTGTAGATTCTATATACACAAGGGCGTAGGCAGCTATTGCCAAAGTGGGGGGCCAAAAAATTAAAATTTTGATTAAATAATGCACGATTCATTTAAAAAATAATTTATGCATGGAAAATTTTTTGTCTACGCCCTTGTATATACATAGATATTAATTATCTGCCAACAACAAATTTGCACTCTTCGTCAGGGCAACTAACTCTGCCCACCATGGCAGCTGTCAGCGAGTGCGCATTGTGCTGAAATCCAAAACCAATTCAACGCCATTTTTCAATTGGAAAACATCCGCTGCCATTGGCATGCGCCGCTGCGCCCAAGATTTAAGCTTGTGCCCAACACAAAGCTAAACCCAGATCGCCCAGAATACGATACCAGCACATGACAGTAGTGGTATCAACGCGCATTGAGCTGAAATTTGAGCAGTGTCATCAATTGTGGACGGGCGGCCATTCATGGATTTGCAACTGTGTCAAGTTATTGTGGTTGTTGTTGTTGCTTTTGTAGTTGAGGCTGCGCAGTCATCGTCTGATGTCAGTCAGAGCGCATGCAATTAGCCAATGTCTGCTTTGGACTGATTTAGCGTCACGTCGCCAGGCCCATTACATGGGAACAAAACGAATGTCCGAACGTAGCGGCGTCCTCACGCCACCCGCCGCCCACAAGCGCCCACTGACGACAACGATGACGATGACGATGACGACGACGACGACGGCGACGACGTCTGCTAAATGAGCATTTCCTGGCATCCAGCGGCGATCCCAGACAACGAAGACGAAGACATCGTCGTTTAATTGCTTTTTGCGTTGCGCGAAATCTTCTTTGGTCGCTGCTCAGTTACAGCAATTACAAAAACTCTTCAATTTTTATGCGAAAATGCAAAAAAAAAAATTGCTTAGACAATGATTTTCTCAGTAAACTGAAAATGATATACTCTTACCAAACTTAAGAGTAACATTTCTAAGAGGAATTTATAAAAACCCTTTTCCGTTATCTGCTGATTTCAAGTACCACACAATCGAACTTCTCAAATCTAAAAGATTTATCAATTTAGAGGTTTTGATAACTTTAACTCATTTGAGAGAAAAACGCCAACAGTTTCGTTAGCAAATGTTTATTAATCGAAGAGAGAAGAGAATCAACATAGTTTATATAAATTTATATATATTTTTATTTACATAGTTTATACTTATGAAGATAGTTGGCAATTTAAATATGAATGGAATCAATTATACTTGCAGAATTAATCAGAAATATATCCATTTGCGTAAAATAGTAATTTTTTCAACAGGTAGAAGTTTGTGTTTAAGTTAAATCGAAAGTTGTACATTTAATTTAATCTGCAGTGAAACTAAAAGCTGTGGCCCAGAAGTAGGCTGCTTTTTTTTCCATTCTATTATATTCTATTTAAAAAGCAATTGCTATATAAATATTTCAAAAATAACGAGTTATAGGAAAATGCTTTTAAATATGTATATTAATAGATAGATATTGGCTTTTCCATTTCAAGATAAACATAAAATCCGTAATGAATTCTAAAAGAAACCTCTTAAAAAGTGTTACCTACTAAAACAGCAAAGCCACCCAATATTGTAAGACGAAAATGATTAGTTTTTTATGACTGTATTTCTTTAAGAGGGTGAAGTTGCAATTCACCCAATTCTCTATAATTGCGTACAGGCTGACAGATATTTTAGACACATTTTAAAACTCGAATTTTTCTATATAAGTAAAAAGTATGCAATTTGAACATTTTTTGTCCTCATTCTGCTCTTTAAATTGTAACACTCTTTAAATTTACAAGAGTATATAATGTGTTTTATTTCTCCCCAATTGTAATGCCATGGACATAGACATGGACATGAACATGAACAGGGACATAGATGCGGCCACAGTACGGGGCGGCGGCTGGTTGCCAACTCTTTTGGCCATGTTTAGAAAGTCTGCGCCTTATTGCTAGCGACGCGTTTGCTTCGAAGCGAATTTTCTTTGTTTTCTCAGTTTTGCGTGAAATTAAAGTGTTTGTTTGTGCAATTGTGCTTTGCCTGCTCGTTTGTTGTTCGTTTGTCTGTTTGTTTGTTTGTTCGTTTGTGTGTATGTTTGTTGGTTTGCTGATCTGCAGGCATCGTTTGGTTCGTTTGCGTTGTCTTCATTTGCATCAGCGCAGCCCAAAAACAACTTGAGATTAAACTGTCCATTAGCGTCAACGCTGTGGACGGCGGATTGTGGACGGCAGAAGTGAGACTTAAACTAAAGGTTTCTTCTTCTCTTTTCTCTTCCCTGGCTACGTTCAATTACAGAAGTCGTTTACGCTGATATTGCAGGCGTTGGACATGTACAACACATCCTATCCAGGTAAGTGCGGTGGCAATTGCATTCGTCGTCAGTGCTTCAGCTGCTGTTGTTGTTGCAATTGTTGTTGTGGTTATTGTTGCTGTTGGGTTGTTGTTAGACTGGATCGTGTGTTGCGCACGTCGTTTGGCTTAATTAGCTCAGGAGTGGAAGACAGCGGCTAATAACAATAAAAGCCTACAAGACATACAACCCACAACAACAACAACAACAATTGCAACAACAACAGCAGCTGCTGACAGCCAATTGAGTGCAAAAATGTTGCGCACAATGTCTAAACCTTTTTTTCTTTTTTCTTTTTCTTCTTTTTTTGTTGTGTCTTTTCCAACCCATCACAATTCGTTGCCTTGTTTCGTTTAACCAACGAACTTGTCGACAAACTTTTGGAACGATAACGCTGTTGCTGATGCCACCATCGTCGTCGACGTTGCCACAATTGTCATGCAGATGCGGAAAGGTTAATTGAAGAAACATCATACTCGGGCGTGATACTGCCCTCGCCCGAATGGAAAACTCTGGACCACATTGGTCGCAACGCTCGCATCACCTACCGCGTCAGAGTCCAATGCGCCGTTACCTACTACAACACGACCTGCACGACCTTCTGCCGGCCCCGAGACGATCAGTTCGGACACTATGCCTGCGGCTCCGAGGGTCAGAAGCTCTGCCTGAATGGCTGGCAGGGCGTCAACTGTGAGGAGGCCATTTGCAAACCTGGTTGCGATCCCATACACGGCAAATGTGATCGACCCGGCGAGTGCGAGTAAGTGTGAGACCCATCTATATAAACACACACACACACATACATCTAGAAATAGACTTTTGTAATTATGTGGCAGCCCCAACTGGGCATTAAAACTATGTGTGATTATGACACTTTTTGCGTAGAACTGAGCAGCACTTAATAGCTTGCCCGCGGTCGCTTGCCTGAACGCTGCGGCAGTCCCAGTTGACAGTTATAATGGCTTCTATATTCTGTCAGTCTTTCTTTTTGCCAGCCTAGGCTTGAGTGAGGTTGCTTGGCGGGATCATAAGAAAGATTCCGTTCAATGTGCAACCAATGTCCAAAATACGAGCAAAACTGTTCAAAGTCATGGCAAGCAATATGTATTTTGTTGTGTTTAATGTGAAGTCAATAAAAATAGTCTCAATCAACTTTTATTTAAAAAGAAACTATTTATAGTTTAGAGTTTCAGAAACTTGGCAGGCAGAACTCTTAAACTAGCCCTTTTCTTTGACTATATCAATAACGATTAACCATTTTTGAACAGAAAAAGTGACTATTAGGGGTATTAGTTAAGCAATATGTATTTTGTTGTGTTTAATGGGAAAATAGTCTCAGTCAACTTTTATTTTAAAAGAAACTATTTATAGTTTAGAGTTTCAGAAACTTGGCAGGCAGAACTCTTGAACTAGCCCTTTCTTCGAATTTTCTTTGACTATATCAAGAATGATTAACCATTTTGGAACAGAAATAAGCTTTTAAGGGTATAAGCTGATGCTTATCTTTGTAGTTTTGGCAGATCATTGATGAAGTAACTACTGGAGTCTCATCCTGGTCAGGACCATTCAGGATAGAGGGAATTTAGCAAATTTAATTATTCTGAAAAATTACTGCCAATATACATAACATAATACATACGAAATATTCATTCAGATATAAAAAAGAAAAGAAAAACAAAAATTAAAATTAAATAGAATTACAATCATTCTTTAAAAAAGTACGAATTTTAAAGAGCAACAACAAATATTAATCTGACCTTAGGGAATTGAGGATACTTGATTTAATCGAATTGTGTCATTATGATAGGAAAACCTTCACATTTTTCCAACGACATTTATTTCGTGTTAGACTCAAATATGTGGCACGTCGTTCCACAAATCAATTGTCCACCGACGCGACGATAACAGAAACTCTATTGAATTGAGACTTCCCATAGCTAATCAAAAGCTTCCTCTAGGAACATTCCTCTAGGAACATTGGGCATGCAATTGTCAGAAGAAGAAAAACAACAACAACAGCAACAACAACAATAAAAACGACAATATGAACGATCGGCCGAGCGTGCTTTAAGACTCCAGATTTTGAGCATTGCTGCAGGCGATTGTAGCACGAAAAAACGTTTGTGGTTTTGTGGATTTGCAGTTGCCGTTGCCGTTGCAGTTGTTGTTTTTGCTCTTACCGTGTTGTTTGCCGTTGTTAATGTTCCGGCGTAACACAGAATACGTGATCTAGGCAAGAAAACGACGATGACGATGACGACGACGACGAGCATAGAACGAAGAACGTTCATGATTTCAAGATGCGCCTGCTAAGCGGCCAGCCCCAAGTCTCAAGCGTCCGAGCGTCGTTGGTTGGTGTGCGCTGATTCTAAATAGCAATAATTAGCGTGGCCTAGAAACCATCAAAAGCCAGTCAAATGTTGCAACAACTTTCAGTAGATTTCCGTTGTTGTTCGCACAACAGCAACTGCAACACCAACAACAACAACCAACCATCCATCCAAGCAACAACAATTATAAAGCGCTCGCAACAGCAGCAGGCTACGAAGAAAAATTGCTTTGCTGTTTGCACGTTGCTGGCCCATTTGCGAGCAATCGGGGTAGAGTGGGGTTGGGTGAGGGTTGGGGGCTGGGTGCTGCCGTCTGCATTGCATTGCAATAGATTCGTTTAAAGATAACAACAGGCTGCTGTTTTAATGAAATCATAAATTATAGACATCGAACAACGTCAGTTGCAGTTGTTGTTGTTTTTGTTGTTGTTATTGTCTGACCAACCTACCAACGAACCGCCAAGTTCTAGCGCCCAACGACTGCCAGAGACTTATCTCAGGCAACGTCATGCCCAGCTTGTAGAGTTAGCACCTTGGTTGGCATGGCGAGCGATAACTAAGCAGACTTGGTCAGAGAGAAGTAATTTAACTTTGATCCTTGCACTTTGGCGTGTTGCGACGATAAACTCGTCGGACCGCGAAATGATGTTTTAGTTGTTGTTCAATAGTACGAGCTTTCGATGGATTTGATGAGGCATCAAGGCCAGAGTTCAGAGTGACCCAATTCTTGAAAGACTTGCCAGCATGTTCTACACTTTTAATCACCGTCCAAGCACAACCATTAAAGTCCATTTGAAGTCCCAGCGGGTTGCCATGCAAATTGCAAATCGCAAATTGCGAATTGCCGCGCACATTCAATAAGTTCATGGTCTGCTGATGTTTTATAATCTATAAACGAACTTGCTCCACTCTCTACTCTTCCGCAGATGTCGACCCGGCTGGCGCGGACCGCTGTGCAATGAGTGCATGGTCTATCCTGGCTGTAAGCATGGCTCCTGCAATGGCAGTGCCTGGAAATGTGTCTGCGACACCAATTGGGGTGGCATACTCTGCGATCAAGGTAAGGCACTGAGATCTGTTTTCTTGCCGCACAGCTGTGTCGGCAATTACCAGCAACAATCGATTACATCGACATCGCCATCGCCAGCGCTATGGATATATTTCATAGTTTTGGTTTTGGTTTCGGTTTTAGTTTTTATGATTCCTTTTTCGTTATACAAGTCTTCCCCTACTCTCTCACACACAGATTTAAATTACTGTGGCACCCATGAACCGTGCATGCATGGTGGCACCTGCGAGAATACAGCGCCCGATCAATATCGCTGCACTTGCGCCGAGGGATTATCGGGTGAACGGTGCGAGATTGTGGAGCATCCGTGTGCCACACAGCCGTGCAAGAATGGCGGCACATGCACGCTCAAGGTGAGGCTTTACTTAGTAACTTATTTGTAGTTAATCCCTGAATTTATAGATATGTTCGCAGTGCCATAAAATAATTTAATATGCTGTCGCTTTCGCCACGCTGGCGAGTGTAACAAATATGCAATACACAGAAAGAAAAACTATGTACATATGTAGTTATGAATTATTTTTCATACCTGGAGATATCAGCATGTTTAATACGAAATAAATTCTTAATAAGGGTGTATCACTCTATTCTACAATCCACTTAGGAGTTTTGAAAAATTTCAAACAAATATTTATTTATTTTCTGTTAAATTGAAGCGTAAGAAAGGCTCTTTATTTTGCCTGTCAGGGCTATGAATTACGTACAACGATTGATGCTTCAAATATCTTCGTAATAGAGAAACCCATGCGAGCATTTGATAAAATAAATCTATGGCTTCAGGACTAAATTTATGCTTAAAGCGCTTATAGAGGCATAATAAATTTTCAGAATTGTTTCAAATATCATTTGGCATTGCGTACTTAATTTAAGTTAAAACTCATACTCATCTCGTAACTTATTGTAGATATCTCACGGTTTTAGTTTTAAGCCTCTCCCTCGTCGTATTGGCACTGCATTTCTAATAGTGTACCCATATCGTTTCTCACTCTATTTCTTATTCAACTTGTGTGCTCCTTCACAGCCAACGAACATGACCAAGCAGACGACAACATATCGCTCCATACGCGGCATGAGCTCTGCCATGGGCAAGCCGATAAGCAGACGCAATTCAATGCGCAGTCTTGCCGGGTTGCGAGCGGCTCAAGGACAGGGGCAGGAGTCGACAGACATTGGTAGTCAACAGAATGGAAGCAGCAGCACAAGCAGAGATGCTGCCCACCAGCTGCCCCCTTTAGTTGAATTCACTTGCGGCTGTGCCACTGGCTGGACGGGACCGACATGCGAAATAAGTGAGTTTTGATTTAATTTTTTGCATTTCGCGAGGCAAATGCAGCACGCGATTAGCCACACAGCCACAAGTCTCCTGTTGCTTGCCGCCATTCGATCATGCAATTGAGCACACACGCATTTGACTGTGACTGTAGCTGTGGCGAAATGAAATGAAACGCGGCACGCACAACCAAGCCTGGCATGGTCAGTGATTGTGACTGTTGTAGTAGTAGTTGTTGTTGTTGTTGTTGCCGCCACCTTAGTCTCGGTGGTCTCGCACATTTGGTTTTGCATTCCAATTGGAGCATATTCAGCAGAAACTATTTGCCAGTCCATGCAATTGCCTCTAGAAGCTAATTAAGTGGCGGCGAAAACGAAAGACTTAGGAAACGAACTAACTGGCAATCAAATGGAATTTGTACAAATGTGAGAAACATTAAGCAGAGAGTTTTTGTAAATTGGCTTTGCCATTTACAAACGAACCCTAATAAAGCGAATAATCATTATCCTTAATCGAAGCTGTGTGATGGGAACCACTTAATCCAAAAATAGCATAAAGCATTAGATTAGAAATTGAATAATACAAGAATGTTGGATGGGGTTTTGGTTGATACCTCAAACACATTATAACGTAAATGGAAGATTGAAAGTACATATCTTTAATTAAAAATCACTTGTTAAGCTAGCCGACATGGGAAAATCGACTCGTCGGCTACTCTCCTAGCAAACCTACAACATTTACAAATTGGCTGATTTAATCTTTGAAGAATGTGAGTTGATCTGCATTTTGATTAGAAGAGTGTAAATGACAGATTGGCTGACTCTGTTTTTCCACTTTCCGAAATCAAGACGATCATACTGACAGACGAACTGCAGGGATGGATGCTGTACAAACATGACAGAATGAAAGTGTATTTTACGAACGCATGGAACGAACACATAGCACATGATGTTCTCTAAAATTCAAATAGTCTACAATAGTTTATGAAGAATAAGATAATTATAGAGTTATACAATACTCGAAAATTAGAAAGACTATTGAAAATAGAAGTTTGCGAAACATATGGAATTTTTTGTAGGCTGAGCACTACAATGTGTATGTAAGGCTTCAAATTATATAAAGTTTCAACTTTAGTTTTATCAACTTGAACCCCAGTACCTTTTTTATAACATGAGCCCCTGTCTGCATGACATGGGAAAATCTTATTGACCTTGTTAAATCCATAACTTAATGGCATTCCAATGACTACACGAGCAGCCACAGCCGCAACAGCAGCAACAACAACAACAATGGGTCAAGGTGCGCATTCCTTTTTGGGACGCTACTGCTTATCAAATTTTATCAGCAAACAAACAAATGAGTTGCGTGCGAAGAAGGCACAACGCACTCACAAGGAAGCGGCGACGAGTGCTTGGGGCTGATGATTTCAGGCAAGAGATAAACCAAGCACGCAGCTACCAGCACGAGAGACCAATGCGGCCAACGATGCTGATGCTGGCAGTTCGTTGACTTTATTGCCACCTGCGCGACTCAAACTTTAACTTGAGCTCAACAACAATATCAACACATTTGCACTTCAGTGCGAACGCTGGAGTAACTTTGTTGAATTGATGTTGAACGACAGCACTTGGCTCGCTCATTTGCTGACCCCCCATGTTTTCCTTCATTTGCTCATCCTTGCAGATATCGATGAGTGCGCCGGCGGTCCCTGCGAGCATGGTGGCACTTGTGTCGATCTAATCGGCGGCTTTCGCTGCGAGTGTCCGCCCGAGTGGCATGGCGACCTCTGTCAACTGGATGTGAACGAATGTGAGGCGCCGTATGCGCCTGTGAGCGGTGGCACCACAACCACAGCCGCTGCTCTGCTGACAACCACAGCTGCGTCGATTATGGGCAGCAATATAACTTCGGCTGCCTTGCTGGCTGCCCTAACGAGTGCAGTGGTCGCCTCCACGTCCCATACTGGACCGTGCATCAATGCAAGGGAATGCCTCAATTTGCCGGGCTCCTTTTCGTGTGATTGCCTCGAGGGCTGGGGCGGTCCCACATGCGCCCAAAATCTAGACGATTGTGTGGGTCAGTGTCGCAACGGAGCCACCTGCATTGATCTGGTCAACGATTATCGCTGCGCATGCGCCACGGGCTATACAGGTAAGTGCAACAACAGCAGCACCAGCAGCATCCAAAATCCATGCTTTGCAATTAACAATTTGTGGCGCTTTCGCCGGACAGGTCGCAACTGTGAGACGGACATTGACGAGTGCGCCAATTCGCCGTGCCGGAACGGCGGTGAATGTGAGAATATGGTCGGCAAGTTCAACTGCATCTGCCCGCTGGGTTACTCGGGCACACTATGTGAGGTAAGTTTTCGGACAGAGTTCATATTAAGAAGAAACTTATAGATCAGCTATCGAAATAGCTGCAAAAACTTTAAGAGAATTATGTGAGAAGAGGAGATAAATGGTTCCGGACAACACCGGATATATAGGCGCTTCTCCACACCTTGCAATTTCAGAATTAAACTTGAACATTTCTAGCGCTAAGCCGTCTGATGAAAATTACTCTGCTTTTGTTTTTTAGGAAGCCAAAGACCATTGCACTCCCTCACCCTGTCTGCAGGGTAGTTGCCTGAACACACCTGGCAGCTTCTACTGTCACTGTCCACCGGATCGCGCCGGCAAGCACTGTGAGCAGCTGCGTCCGCTCTGCTCGCAGCCGCCCTGCAATGGTAGGTGATACCGTCACGACGGCATTAACTTGAACTTGAGAGCCCAGGCTTTAACTATTCAACCGTTTCTAAACCCTTCCCTTCACAGAGGGCTGCTTTGCCAATGCCAGCAATGTGCCAGCTACGACACTAACAACAACAATAACAACTGCAACAATATCGAAGACAACGATGCGCGCATCCAGCGGTCTACCCTGCAGCGGACAAGGCAGCTGCGAAATGAGCGACGTGGGCACCTTCTGCAAATGTCATGTGGGCCACACGGGCACCTTCTGCGAGCACAGTGAGTATATACCTACACACACACACACACACACACACACACACACACACACACATGCATACACATTGAGAGACTAGAAGAAGACGAAGGAAACTCATTAACCTGACCGGCAATGTTCTTCTGCTGTCTTCTCTCCCGCCCGCAGATCTCAACGAATGCTCACCGAATCCTTGTCGAAATGGCGGAATTTGCCTTGACGGTGACGGCGACTTTACATGCGAGTGCATGTCCGGCTGGACAGGTGAGTCGAAGAGCTGGGAAGAAAAAAATATATAAAAAAGGCAAAAACAAAAAAATAACGAAAAGCAGCCGCATTTGTGCCAAAGTGAACGTCAAAGCGACGGAACAAGTGCAGCAGAGAGCAGTGCCGACATAAAAGCAGGAAACAACGCGAACTTTCTCAAAACGAATTATATATCCTCTACAATTTTGTTTAGCTAAATTACTTGTAGAACAATTCGTCACAATATAGAAGGACTTAGGGAATCATAGTTTTCATCTGAAGCAAATTATTCGATTAATACAATGAATGATAGACAAGATAATATTACACTGTCCAGAAAGAAATCTTTAACTTTTGAGTAAGCTTACTTCTCGACTATATTTAATAGAAAGACTTGGCTAACAGCAAGTAACTCATAAGGTAGTAGTATTTCCTTCCAGTTGAATGCCTGATATAAATATTATATGAGGCTTAGTGAGTCTTAAATCGCAATGTTGATTGGAATTTGATTTATTCAGAGAAATTACATTGTTCAGAATTTAAAGTTAAAGTTATATTTCTTATTACACCTCAAGACTGTTTGATTCGCTTATTTTAGTCAACATATTAAAATCCTTACTTTTCCACTTGCAAAAGCTTCTTAAAAGTAGAACAGCTGCATTCGGAATAGAGCATATACGATCAACCATAGGCGTGCAATCATGAACTCTCAGTGGGCAAGCACGACGCGTTAGAGACCAAAACAAAAAACCTGCTATAAGTTGGCGGCGGCGCATTATCAACGCTTTGGAGGCTTTAAATGGGCGCGAGACGAGAGTTGTGCACATTAAGTACGCTCTACACACACACACACATACATATGCACAGCTCGCATACACACTAACACGCCAGCGGACTTATGCGCATTTATTTGAGCATTGAAAGTTGGCAGTCATTACTGTTTCAATTTGAAACGAACTGAGCTCAAAATTTCTGCGCTTTAGTCTCAGGCGGATTTTGTGCCACATGTGGCATAACGCCGCGATCGTTCGGCTCAGTGGCGTGCACCACTGGGGGGCTAGGCATTCACCCGCACCGTACATAGAGCTAGAAACAAGAAATCAAACCTTCGCATGATTTATGTTTGTTTTCAATTTGCGATTTGCATATTTCACGCGCTTCGCTTCAACCAGCAAGTTGCGACTTTTGGTGGCGAATCGACGACATCGATCTTTGTCAAAGTCAGCATCGGCGCACTTTTACTTTTTAAATTCGTTCGAGCAATGAATTAGACAGGGCCATGGTCGCAGTTAGACAAAAACGAATATTAGTGTAACAATTAATGAAAGCAGAACAAAGTAGAAACAAATCGAAGTACCCCCTACATTGTATACATTTTATTGACACTAAAGGTAAAAGAAACTCTGCTCTATTTCGTAAAATAAATAGCAATAAAATGAAAAAAAAAAATGTTTTTTCCCATATTCAAGAATCGGCGAATCTTTAGAACAATGCATTTTTCTCATAAATATTAGTTCTTGGGTATATATTTTTAATACACTTTGCAAAAGTATTTTGCTAAAACATTAATCTAATGTATTAATTTTGATGAAATCAATATAAAATATCTAAGTCTTGTTGGTTATTCGTGAATATATAAAAGACTAAATAAAAATACTTTTAAAAGTGTTAAGAATAAAACTAAATTTTCAATATTTATTAGTGTAGAGGGAAAAAATGTAATTAAGGCAACTTCACACGTCCCCTTACTAATGTCGTTTAGTTTTCAAGTTCGTGCCTTAAGTCTTTCGTCCTCTCTTTTTCTGCAGGCAAACGTTGTTCGGAGCGCGCTACCGTCTGCTATGCTGGCCAATGCCAAAATGGCGGCACCTGCATGCCGGGTGCACCAGACAAGGCATTGCAGCCACACTGCCGCTGCGCACCTGGATGGACGGGTCTCTTCTGCGACGAGACCATCGACCAGTGCCGTGGTCAGCCTTGCCACAATGGAGGCACCTGCGAGTCGGGCGCTGGCTGGTTTCGCTGCCTCTGTGCTCAGGGCTTTTCGGGTCCGGATTGTCGCATCAATGTAAACGAGTGCTCACCACAGCCATGTCAGGGCGGCGCCACCTGTATCGATGGTATCGGCGGCTATACCTGTATATGTCCGGCTGGACGTCATGGACTCCGCTGTGAGATTCGTAAGTAGACGAGGTTTTTGAATAAGTGGACAGTTTTTTAAAATGTCTACATCTTTCTAGTGCTTTCAGATCCGAAATCTGCCTGCCTCAATGCCAGCAACACAATTTCGCCCTATTCCGCGCTCAATCAGACTCACAACTGGCTAGAAACCGCGCTTTCGGGCCGCACCGACGAGGATGAATATTGCAATGCTTGTGTCTGTGAGAATGGAACTTCACGGTGTACACGTCTTTGGTGTGGACTGCCTAATTGCTTTAAGGTAGACCCGCTATCCACGTCCTCCAACCTCTCGGGCGTTTGTAAGCAACACGAGGTGTGTGTGCCGGCCCTAAGTGAGACCTGTCTATCCCCACCTTGCAATGTGCGTGGGGATTGTCGTGCTCTGGAACCATCCCGTCGTGTCGCACCACCACGCCTGCCAGCCAAGGCCAGCTGTTGGCCCAATCAAGCGCTAGTTAATGAGAATTGTGCACGCCTTACGATCTTGCTCGATCTAGAACGTGTGGGCAGAGGCAATTCGGTGGAGGGTCTGTGCTCCCTGGTGCGTGTGCTCCTAGCCGCTCGGCTGGTTAAGCTGCCAGTCCCACCCCAGCAGAGCTCGGAACAGGAACAGTCCATGCTCATGGTGCTGTGCGATCTCAAGACGGGGACCAACGATACCATCGAACTGACTGTGGTAAGTGGGAGGTGTTAGCAAGCAAGCACTCAGAGAAAATGAATTATCTAGTAACTCAAGTAGGGACAAACTCGGCTTTGGTCTTAATCGAAAGGAATTCCTTTGTTGGAGGGCTTATGCGTTCTTAAGAGGGTAACAAATATAAAATAAGGCTTGTGCCGAACACCGATAAGGACGAGAGGTGATATTAAATCTCCTAAAGAACTGAAAAATACATATTAAGAATAATTTTCAGAGAGCCAATCATAAACCAGCTTCAAAACTGAAACCGAGATTTAGAGTGAAGTACCACCTTTTGTAATTTATGACCTCAACCGGAACCAATTATCTATCCAATTTGTTAACTGCCCATTCATTCTTCTTCTAATCCAATCTAATCTCTATCCATTTGTCTTTTACAGTCCTCTTCCATGCTTAATGATCCAGAACTGCCCGTGGCCGTTTCTCTGTTGGGTGAGCTACTCTCCTCGCGCCAACTCAATGGCATCCAACGTCGTAATGAGCTGCAGCATGCCAAGCTGGCTGCACTTACCTCCATACTAGAAGTTAAGTTAGAGACGGCGCGTGTGGCGGATGGCAATAGCCACAGTTTGCTCATCGGTGTGCTCTGCGGCATCTTTATTGTGCTGATCGGATTCTCCATTTTCATCAGCCTGTATTGGAAGCAGCGCATGGCCTATCGCAGCACCTCGGGGATGAATTTGACACCCTCGCTGGATGCATTGCGGCACGAGGAGGAGAAGTCCAATAATTTACAGAACGAGGAGAATTTGCGACGCTATACGAATCCGCTGAAGGGCAGCACCAGCTCCCTGCGTGCAGGCAATGGCATGGAACTGAGTCTGAATCCTGCACCCGAGTTGACCGCCGTTTCGGCACTGGCAGCTGCGGCGGCCACAAGTTCGGCATTGCATCGGTCGCAGCCTCTCTTTCCGCCCTGCGATTTTGAGCGGGAATTGGACGCGAGCACCGGTCTGAAGCAGGCGGCCCAGAAGCGCGGCTCACAGATATTGCTGCACAAAACACAGAACTCAGACATGAAGAAGAACACGGTGGGCTCGCTGGACAGTCCACGCAAGGATTTTGGCAAGCGCTCGATCAATTGTAAGTCGCTGCCGCCGCCGGCTTGTGATGAGAATGATATGCTGACCACAGTGGTCGTGTAGTGGACCGACGGGGCAAGACGAGCAATTCGCAGTGATCTCAGTGACCCCGCATACACAACACCACACAACCACACACCAGATGCTCATCCATATGCCAAGCGCATCGTTGATCGTTTTATGTTCCTGGCGACTTCGTTTTTATACATACGAGTATAATATGTATTTTATATTTTGCATTTAAGACAAGGCCGCAGGTGTAGCCGTAGCCATGCCACAGCACGGGCACGATTTCTAAGTGCATTAGTAGCGTAATTTGTTGTAAGTTTTAGTTATGCTTCTATTCTATATATATCTAGCATTATGTCGATAGCTAGGCTGCGCATTTTGCGCTCTGTGTTGCTTCTTGGTTAGTGTAATCTGCTCTCTCCACTCCCTATCTTCCTCTCAACATAGCTATACATTTTCCACTATCTTTTTAATTCTCTCTCGACCTGCCTCTTCGCTAAGCAACATCCTACACAGTGTGATATTTAGTGTAACCGGCGCGCATGCTCGTAGGGAACGCCGATCCACAAAATTGTGACAATTTGTATATAATATAGCTCTCAAATGGATGGCGCGCGCTCTATAGTATAGTAAGAAAATTAGCAATAGGACACTACCACCATCATCTACATAGGTGTGTACGTACTCGATGTGTGTAGTGTTGTAAAAGTTGTAAATAGTGTAAAGTAGCAGTTACCGTTATTATATGAACAATTAAATTCCAATTCATCTTAAGAAAAAAACGAATACTATGCATATATGTATGTTAGACATCCCGTAAAGCTGTTTACCCTCAAACGCAATAATTCTTACAGCTAGCTGTGTAGTTAAGTGAACATTATAACAAAAAAAAAAAAATTCGATAATTTTTACTGTATGTATTTAGTAATATTTATTTATTATTTTTAACATAGCCCCAGTACACTCCTTAAACCAGTTACTTGATTTAGCAGCAATAATGTAATATGAATAAAACTATTTTTTAAAAACCAATAACATACTCGCATTTTAACTAATTATAAAAAAAAATCATCGACGTAGGATTTCGAAGTAATATAGAATACCTATGTATAGCAATATGTTTTATCAGAGCTTTCTTTCTGCGTTCAGTGCTTCGATCTAACATTTGTTGAGCAGTGCATCTTTTGAGCTAGAAGACCATTAAAGGAAATGAATCGAATCCGAATATATAAAAATAAATAATTTTTGAAAATGACGTTAAGGTGTTGTTGAACCTAATTTTCGAGGAGTTGGCGGAATCTATGGCTTGGGCGCTTCTGATAAAAAGCGCAGAGAGCAAGAGCTTAGAGAAGAAAGCAGTTGAAGAAAGCTAGCAGGATTTGCTCATTAATATGTGAATCATTAATTAATATGAAAATGTATCTGTAGTTGAAAAGGGCTGAGCAGAATGTGACATACATGGCGTATATTGTTTAAGGGGCAGTGCCAAGATGCCACGTTTTTGGTGTTGTGTGTCAGGGTCTGACCTTTGTAACTGTTATTTAGTCGAACCTCGAGAGTTGTAGACTTATTATTAGTACCGTTTAGTGTTAGTATTTAGTACAATTTCTATAGTTTTATCAAGAAAGTCACAGCAGAAAAGTCGTATTTATATTTTTGTATTGTATTTCTTTCCCATCCATTATTTCATTGTCAATATGAGCGGGCAATCAATGCTCATTTCCTGCTCCCAATCGATCTTCAGAGTCTTTGCAGAAATATGCACGGCTGAGCATGTTGCGGTCGCATTTGAAATATGCGCTAATTGAATGTGAAAATGAAATGCAAGCTGAGATCCAACTCACATCCTACAGCAATCACCAACAACCAGATGAACAACTCACAATCAGGCAAGAAAAGAAAACAAAACAAAACAAAACAAAAGGAAACAAAATAAACAAAGTCAACGGAGCAAGAAAGAAAGCGAAATCGGCAAGAGCAATGCATTTTACGTTGTTTGGTTTCTAATTAAAATACCAAAAAAGCCTTCGCTTCAAAGCTAAGCCCAGCTCTACAAATACCTGGGCCGAGGTGGGACGGCAAGGGACCGACTGGATCGAGTGGATCGGAGCGGATCGAGCAACGTGCGTAAATTTCGTCAGGCAGGCTGGATGGCTGGCTGGCAGGCTGGCAGGCTAACAAAACGACATGGCCGGGTTGTGCGTTGTTAATGAAGCAGAAAATGCCAGGAATTTTCGCCTGATTGTGGCAGGCTGTGCGGCTGCTGAAGGATGTGTCTTCCAAGAAGCTTTTAGAGCTCCACTGCAACAAGCCGAAATGAGTTTTTATTTAGTTATTGAACTGCCGCCGACGGTGTACAAAAGCAACAATAACGGCGGCCAAGTTAAAAATGTTAGCGGCATTTTTGGCGCTTTTTTGTTTTCAGCTTTTCATGTTATTTTTTCGTTTTCCGTTTTGTTTTTTCCTTTAATTAACGCGTTCTATGTTTTCAGCTTTGAAGGGCAGCGCACATATTGATGGGCCTACTACTTGTATATAACTCGTAACTCAACAAAATTATGGAAGAAGCGGCAACAACAACGAAGAGTAGAAGGCAACGGTCAAGCGCAAGTTGCAGTCACGCCGGCTTGCCGGCCTGCCGATCCGGCGAGCAAACAAAGTTCGAGTCCAGAACTTATGTACTATACATACATACATAAACTTTATCCGTCTATAATCTAAATATGTTTTCTGTGCTTCCCTCATTCGCTTGCTTTTGCGTTGTTCGCCTCTTGTCGTGGCTGTTGCAACAATTTGCTGCAAATTGAAAGCCAATTACGTTGTTTGCAGCATGCCATGGCACAGTCAGACAGGCAAAATTGCACCAACGGAACCAGAGCGGGACGTGGACGTGGACGCGGACGTGGAAACAGACGACTGACTGGACAACTAGTCGTAAGCTAAAGCGTTTGGTTTGCTTCTGCGCTGGCTTAGCAGACGACATAAATATCAAATACAGGTCCATAAATTTGAAACCAATTAGCCAACTTAAATTGATAATAGTTGCTGCTGCCGTTGCCGTTGCTTTTGTTGCTGCTCCTGCTCCTGCTGCATCTAGGCTGGCTGGTCAGCTACACACAGAAAAATCAAATACACATGTCCCTAACAATTTGAGCCTTCGGTAAATATCAGACGGAAAGCTATAATGCACCAGTCGTTAGAGCCAGAAGAGAATGACATACTACTTGTATTTCATAGCGAGCACACAACTTGCCTAGGTTGCCAAAGTTTATATCATTACCAGCAAATACCCTGCTTCAAAAATATTCTAGGATGAAGTTTCAATTAAGTATTTGATTAAAAAACTCATTTCTCAGTTCTTTTCTTAATCGATCACTAAAAATTTGTCAGTTCTGATAACAGTTTATTAAAGTACAACCTCCTACGCGCGAAGCATCACTAATTAGCTTCATTGCCAAGTAGAGAAGATAAGCCGGTACTGAACAACTGCTTCGAGTCACTGGCGCTTTAAGCCAACAAATTAGATAACAAATTAGATGCGAAGCAAGTATTAGTATTTATTAAGGATTTTATATAATTTCAAAATCATTTTTAAACGATTGAAAAATGAGAAAAAAGAACCAAAGTTAACTAATAACAGGAGCAGATCTGATAACTATATAATAATTTTAGCGCGAAAAGCGGACTAATGATTAGTTTTAATTATAAATATATAAATAATAATAATAATGTACTAATTAGGCTAAATTTTCATCATATTATAATAAATGTTTCAGTTTGAAAATGTTTTGGGCTTAAAAGAACTTAAGATGCTTTCTATTTGTGACAAGAAAACCCTCCTAATTCGATGGCCAAAATAATTCAGTCTATTTGAATAAAATACTGCGAATATTTTTAGTATTGTTTGTTCAGCAACTTTGTTTAAAACATCAATTATCAATTATCTATTTACATATTGTTTTCCAAATTCGGAGCTTAGTTTTTTTTTCTGTGTAATTTGGGGCTGACATTTGCCTACTACTGCACAGGAAGCTGAAGGAACGTTCACTAATAGCACTGCCATTTGATGACATACGTCGCTCGTGTTGAGTTGGCAATTTTCCCTGGTCGTTGTTGTCGCCATTGCCATCGTCGTAGTCTTTGGAGGAGTCGGGCAATTGTTGTCCATATTCGTACAGCGTCATATGTCTTGGGCCCTGTACCTTTTGGTGCGATTCATGTCGTGCCTGTCGTGTCGTTCTAATCACAATTGCTGCGTTTACTCTGTGCGGTTTCTGTTTTATTTTATTTATTTTTTTTTCAGGCAGCACTCGCTCCTAGTTTTATGGCGCTTTTATGCAAAACAACTTAATTTTGCTCTACAGCAACAATGTGGTGAATAAAATATGCACTGAGTGGGGACATCGCGACGGTGACAGCCAAAACGAAAGACTTAGGCTACGAACTTGCATTGCCAATGTACAAATGTGCGCTATTTGCTGTCGAGCTGTTATAGAAAATTATCTTAAAGAGATTTGATATATGTATGTATATTCAAATTGGCGCTATGAGACACATGTTGTTGCTGATGTTGCTGCTGCCGGTTGTTGCATGCAACATGTCGCTTTGCATTTGTTGCACTTTAAAACGTTTTGTCTGGCCATAAAACGCCAGACACGCAGCCAGTAGCTCTAACTGTTGCCTGCTGCTGCCTGCTACATCGCATTGGCTTGTTTGTATGAAATGCTGTAGATAGGAATCGCTTACAGTAAACGTTTAGTTGTTTTTAATTAAAATATTTCCATTTCCTTCTCCATATGAGAAATAAACCGACCACGAGTATCTTCGTGCCATTTTTTTATTGAGTTGCATCAATGAACATTTTTGCTGGCAGGCAGGTGGCAAGCAAGTTTTATAGTATTCCAGATTACTGTCTACCCATTAAGTAGGTTATTTTCATAGCTTAGATTCTTATTTCGCCATTATGTCATGGCAGAAAATCGAAAATTATGATTATAAACATATTTGGAAAAGAATGACACATAGTTTGGAGTTTATGAAGTCAAAGTATTTCAGTAACTGACAACTAACTAAACTAAATGAACTCTGTAAGGCGTGACTTATTTATTTAGTGAAAGATTAAACGTACATGCGCAAAAGTAGTTAAGGGAAACATGTTAATCTAATTATATTAAATGTAATGAAATGTTAAAGTCGTGTAACATAGTACTTATATCTATTTATAACATGCCTTAAAAAACTTTCTAATTTTCTAACTATACACAAAGTTACTTTATGAGCCAACGAGCCCATTTTGCGAGTATTTAGTACCATTTTCATTTCCACATGTATGTTCCTGGTTCTGATATGAAGAGAAAAGTTTAGAAGCCCTTTTACAAGATACAGAAGATTACAAAAGTAAACCAGACTTCCAATTGTGTTCTTTTTAATTGACAGGTAAATAGTGCTTTTACATGATTTGAAAGCATATAAAATTGGCGGCATACTTCAAAATACAGATATAATAATTGATTAATTCATTTATAAAATGTTTTTATATTTCTAAACAATTTAAAAAAAAACAATTTGTTATCGTTCACAAATGAAATCTAAACAAAACTAATGAGTTTTAGGTGAAATAAATTATTACCATAGAAAAAAATTACCCATCTATTCACTTCACTTTATAAATGTCAGGCGCGACATTAATGGGGCACATTTATCTAATTAGACAAGCGTTTGGAGCATGCTCCTGGTCAGCTATACCTATACGACCAAGCGTCATGCTAAATATATTAATCAGCTAATTGATGGGCATAAATTATGCAAATGCTGCCGCATGCGGCAGTGCGGCAAACGTGCGCTTATTTATGAGCAAACTAAATGAAATTGAGCCAAGAAGCCACGGTCAATTATGTCATGCGGGGCCACCCACAGCGCCTCAGGTTCGCATGGAAGTTCAAAGCGGCTCTGGCATTGACATCGTATCGCTATCGTCCGTGGTAACACTAACACTCTCCAAGGTAACCCGACTACAACTCAATTAATAACTATTTCTCAGAACAATAAAGCGACTGCGAGCCACTTTTTTTTTTTGCCACTGCGCGCAGTTGCATGCCCCAAAATTTGATTATCTGAGAGGCAGAGGCGAGAGGCATGCACAGGCGTAACTAGAGATGAGCTCGAATCGTGCTTTTTTTTCGGGATTTAGTCCTCAAACATGATTTCAAGAAGGAAGAACGAGTTTTTAGAAATGTATCAAAAATGTTTGAAATGCTGTTTAAAAAATTTATTTCAAATATATTCGACTTCAGGAAATATTTGGATAGAAATATTTATTTACCTATAATGTTTCAAAAATATAAGAACTGTTTGTTATAAGTATAGTCAAAGATTGTTAGAGTATTTCTAAAATTGGCAAATTTAAAGTGAAAGTTGTATATAAAACAAGAAAGGAATGCTAAAGTCGAGCAGGCTCAACTCTTAAATACCCTGTACCACCCCACAAAAAAGTAATTAAATAAATTAATTAATTTAATTAAATTAATTAACTAAATTAATTTAATTAATTAACTAAATATTAACTAATTAAATATAAAATATTCCATGCATGCATACATACATTTACAATTACATCAGAATCGTGTCTATGCGTGTTTGTGTACTTGTACATATGTATGTATGTGTGCATTGAGCCTGGTTATATGGCTATAACTTTCTTTCCGATCATTCTATCATAATGAGACTTGGTATACGGTTATATAATTACTAACCTAATGTGACTACCAAATTTTAGTTCAAAATTCCAAGAATTACGGGAGTTATAGAAAATCGTTAATAGGGGGGGAGTGGGGGGGGGGGGGGGGGTGGATCAGAAAAAATGAACAAACTCGTCCTTTCTCGGTCTCAGGAGAATCTGTATACCAAGTTTTGTTATTCTAGCTCTTATACTTTCGGAGATCCTTGCGTTCATACAGACAGACAGACGGACAGACAGACGGACAGACGGACATGGCTATATCGACTCGGCTTGTCATGCTGATCAAGAATATATATACTTTGTGGGGTCTACCAAGCCTCCTTCTGTGTGTTCCATGTGCACTCGCACTAAACTAATATACCCTTGTACCCTTTGGGTACAGGGTATAAATATACAAACATTAAGCGGCTGGCCTGTCTGGTTTCTGTATGATTTCATTGGGTTCGTTCTCTGTTCGTGGATCAAGAAAGCCGCTGAGTTCTTAGTACTTATACTTAGTACTTATACTTATAGACATAATAAAGAATGTGAGAAAAATGGCGAATGGTTTTAGACAACTTATCTCCCAAGCTTCTAGGGTAAAGGTTTGTGCAAGTCGTTTTCGATTTCAAGGTCGACAATATTTTATTTGAAACTGATAATATAATATTATAAGTAATCTTGGTTCTATCTTTTAAAAAAAGAACTCCATTGTTGTGTATTCCGATCCATATTATTTAAAAATTTCTATTATAAACTGCGTGAAGTTCGGGATTTCTCTTAGAATAGCCCTTTCGCAAAGTCCGCACTCATCTCTAGTTGCAACCAAAAAGCCGACTGTCTGCCGTTTGGCCAGCTATCGGTCGCTGCCATCGTGTGCGCAGTCGCGGCGTTGCGGAATTAGCTGCAGCCAGCCTGGAATCGGAGTTGGCGGCTGAACTTGAGGTCGTGGCCAAATTGCCGACATCTACCCAGCTGCAGAAACAGCTAAAGGTAAAGCTACAGGTTGTAGCTAAAGCTAAAGCTAAAGCAGGGATAGCAGAGCGTCATGTTGTTCACCTCTTTTTTAATTGAAAACTGTACGAAATGGAAAATGGACTTTCAACTTTGCCAGACAACACCAAAAGGCGAATGGCTCGCTAAATTAGCCTAAAGACTATTTCTAATTTTGTGATGGTGGTGATGTTGGCGCTGGTGGCGCAATTCAGGGCCATGGCACAGGCATTTCAAAATTTATGGCAGGCCAAGCGCAGTGTCGAAAATAGCGCCAGAGACAGGAGATGGAGACGACAAGAGACGAGCTGCGCCTGATAGCTTTTTGCAAGTTACTTTCTAATAATGCAGGCATCTTAGTTGGCGATGTATTGCACACGAAAGTCATAAGCGCATGGCAAGTTAAGGCAATTAAGCCCGAGCGACAAGTTGCGCTGTTGGAAGCCAGGAAACTCACAAGCTGGCCAAATCGAGAGGTTGGTTGGGTGTACATGTTTACGGCTTGAAACGGATTGCACGTAATGGGATTTGCGCTGAGCAACAGCGACAGCGATAGTCTGCGCCTTTGCCTGCGCCTGCACCTCAATAAAGGCGATCGCATTACCAATTAGGCGTGCACACTATACTAAACAGCAACGGCTATGGGACAGCTTGTGGAAATTGAATTAGTTGTCGCTGCATATGCGTGACTTAAGGCAGCCACATCCACATCCACGGCCACAGCCATCGGCCATCGTCGCGACGCTGCTGGGTGTGTGTGTAAACATTTTTTACACTTTGCCACATTCCTGCGTCGCGGGCATAAATCAGGCCTGTGCTCGCCTGTCAATCTACGGCTGCGGCATTGATAGCGTCTTGGTCGTTGTTGCAGCTTTTAGCAAGTGCTCAATCGTTTGCCTAGTTAGCCAAGTTCCAGCAGCTGTGTCGCTCAGACTTTGTGCAGCTGGGTGTGCTAGTTGAGTCGTTCGAGAGTCGCGAATTATGGCAACTGCCTGAGAATCCTGTTTCTTTTTTCTGTTTTTTGTGTTTGCAAGTTTTATGAGATGGGAAAGCTAAGCTAAGTGATTTTGAATTGGCAACAGAATGTGCAGCCAATTTATGCAAATGCAGATTACTAGAGTCTTGCTGTCTTCTTTAACTTATAAAAAGTTTTGAAGTTTCACAGATAATAAAAAATCTCACAGTCTAGCCGCATATTAAAATTATTTAAAAAACACCCGGAGACATGTGTAGAGTATAAATTAATTTAGAAGCGATAACTAGAATAATCAACTGAACTGCTCAGAAGACGTAACTATTGAGAGGGGCAAACAGTATATAACAATAATTAGTTTAATTACTTAAATTACTAACTAGTTTGTATTGTATACAATAATAATATAAATAACATATACATATAACAATAAAGAGCAGCAAAAAAACATTGACAGTAAACTCACAAGGACATTTTTGTTCTCTTTGCTGCTTTATGATTTCCATGCGTTCTATCAATTGCGTTATTTATGCCATCATGTTTAATCTGTAGAGCAAAAATGTATTGATATACATATGTAGTATATGTTTGTGTGGATATAAAAGAAGAACAATTTATGGCTACCTTAAAGAGGCCAATAAGTTTATGAGATTGCAACGTTTTGCCTACAAGAATGCCATGGCAAGAGTTTTGCGCACGACTAAACCAGATGCGTTCGTTGAGAAGATGTCCGTGAAAATCGCCCAAAGCAGGGGATATAGTGAAGCGATTGCGGACCAGCCGATGCGTCAATTCATTCGTAACAACTAACTGTAATGATAATGAGGAGGTTCGTTAATGCAAACAACAATTAGGCAAGCGGCATACAGCTACATCGTTATTACGGAGCAGCCGTCGCATATTGTTGTGGAGCTCGAACAAGACCGAATTGCGCTCGGCTATTTCCTCAATCATCCGCAACGAAAATGACAGCGAGTCAATCACAATCAGTTTTATCTGGAAGTGTAATAAAGGATTTAGTGTCTACTAAGGCTAATACTTGTTTGTATACAAACACACATCTGGTTGCTCGCTTAGAAACCTGTCCAAGCTTAAAATGTTGGCAATCAGCTTTGGCACATTTGGACAACAAACATAATTCACATTTTGTACCATCTTGGTGGCATTCAACTCAGGAATTACTTTTCCCCAACGACTTTCAAGATGAGTAGCCAGCTCTAAGAGAGAGAGAAAGAAAATAACAAATCTAATTGGAATTTCATGACCCTAGTAAGAGTGACAAACCTTTAAGTCGTAACGGATTAAAGTCCTGGCGTGTGTCTATATACAATGCTTTTCCCTCCAAGCCACCCAAAGACTTAGGTCGTTGCACATTTAAGCTCAGCTGTAAACTGTAAGCATAGTTTATTAAAATTTATAATTTCAAAGTACCACACACAGCTTACCACATTTGTGTTTTTCCATTGCCAGACTTACTAACGAATTCCGTTATTTTTCTTAGTGCAATGCCACCATGCAAATAATCATCGAGCTCCTTGATTCCTGTCGTTATCTTTTGGTTCGCACTTTCATTGTTGAAGGTATCCAAACAAGATTCATACATAATTTATTGATTGACTTTCAAGCGCTTTTCGCGCCGAAATATTAAAAGCAACACAATCAGCTGTACAGCTGAGTATGCTCGCTTTCCAACACATACAGCTGGTCGCATTGCCACAGCTGTTTAGCAATCGGTGCATCGCCAAATATCGATAGTTATGTATGTTCGCTTCAATTGTTTTGTTTTTCACTGGCGCGGTTGCAGAATTTGTAAAAAATGTTGAAAATAAAGCGAACCATAGCGAATTTATATCGCCAATACGAGCTGGCTACGTGCATTAGCATGTTTGAGCCATGGGAGAAGAAACTCATCAGTAAGTAGGCGACTAGCAAATCAACAACATTCTTTCACGAACTGTTTTCACAGATGGTTTCGTCCTTGTTATTTTGGCTCTGTTGGTCTTCTCCAGCTGTGTGTATCTGCCCACTTACATGCAAACACTACTGCAGTTCATAACGCCACTGCCTTGGTCAGGAAAATCCACCAATAACGCCTATGCGCCCATTGCGTCAACTCAAAAGATGAACATAGGCTAATACTCAAAGGAGTAGTCGCGGGACACCTTATCTAAGGATTACTAGATTTACTCATAAGTTATATGCATATAGTGTTTGTTTTCTGTTTGCCCAAAAGCCGAATCAAGGACAACGTGCTGCGGTCTCCAAGACTTATTAGTACTTTTAAATATACTTTATAATTTAATTTAACTCATTCGAAAAACACTGTGTAAATATCTTCGCGTTCCAAGAAATATAATTAGTGGCCACTTGCATAGTACCTTTCTGTACTCCACGAAAAGAAACAGTGCCTCGACTATACGCAGGGCTGACGTGTTGAAAAACAAGCTAACCAGACCACCCACAGAGACTGTAATAGGTAAATAAGTACGGTGTGTGGATGCCAACAAGACGCACTCACTCAATAGATCCAAATTGGTTTTGGCTACGCGACGCACGTAACGCTGCGTTGGCAGCTCCACCAGGGCCACGCGTATGTGTGAGACTTCCTCCTCCGTCTCCTTATCACTACATGAAAAATAATCCACCTACTATGTGTGTCATTGAATGGATTTAATCGTAGGCAACTTACTTGTCAGCCGAGTTATATATAATATTATATTCGGGTTCATCACACGAGCTCATGCAGTCGCAGGATTTGCGTTCTATATGTAGCTGCTCATTGATGTAGCTCAGACACTTTAGACCGCGATGGTCACAAACAGGCAGCGAGTTCTTGCTCGGCACCGCCATAAAGTGGCTCGTGCAATTACAATGTCGTAGCTGCAGAGCCACAGTGCATTCGACCACACAGCCTGAATAGCTGTAGAACTCATAGATTCCCACTTGCTGACTAATGTTAGTGCGTTCATGGGCATAACGACAACGCCTTTGGTCCATGGTCAGATCCAGAACGCTCTCGTGATTATAAACTTCAATAACATTCAGAACCAACTCCTTGAAGTTGCCTCGCAACACAGTTTCTCGTATCATGCCCTCCGAATAATGGAATGGCACATCGATTGGGGCATGTACATGCAATTGAATGTCAGCGGCTGCGATGAAATTCAAATGAGCTGCGCCAGTCATGCGATTATTTGTGTACTGCACATGCGGAACTTTTCTTGCCTGATGCGAATTAAAGGAGTAACAGACACCATATTCCGTGTGTATGGGTAGAAATTGTTCGCAGCAATCGAAGAGTTGATTCCGGTAGCTGCACTCAATAATCAGTTCGTGGCACTTGCTGCGAAACTAAAACACAAAACAATATAATAAGCTTATACCGGTTAGGATCATATATCCAAACACCCACCACTTCCAGCAACAGGGTAAAGTTGTCTGGACAGGATAAAGTCTCGCACTTCTCGCAACTGCTGCATATGCCGTGAAAGAAGACAATCTCGCTAACAAAGTCGTCGATGTGCATGTCGTGCTCTACACCGAACTGTATCTCGCTAAGGTCCCAGAGTTTCTCACCATTGTATAGCTCACAAACAGTTATGGCCGGAAATGAAGTGTTCCAATTAACGCTGTAGCGCTAGAATTAGTAATTAACTTACATTTTTATTTCATATACTCACTAAATCGTGTCCAAATTAAAGGAAACCGATGAGGAGAAAAAGTTCTCCAGCAGCGAACTAGAGACCCTTACAAAAAATGGCATGGTATGAACAAATGTTGCCAAATAGAGCAACCTGTCCTTATATCGAGTATTGAGTATTGGTAAGCAATATTATTTCACAAATAGATTATTTATTTAAATTACCCCTTCAGTGCCGGCCCCAAAAGTCTCCTCCAGTTAACGGCTAAGCCAAATAAATTCTGTTCCCTAAGCCAACGCATTTTCCACTCTTTGGTGGTTGTTCGATGACTATTCGACGGTAGTCGCGACAAATTGGTTTTATTTGGGACATAATGAAGAATTCAGCCTTGATAAGATCTGTCCCATTGTTCTCTAAAAAGGTACATTATACTTGCCCTTTAGTTCGGTGCCTAGTATATGAACTCATTTTTGATTTGTATTCAGTTCATTGCTAGAAACAACATACAGAGGTAAGCATACATATACAAATTTATGTTACAAAATTAAGGGAAACTATTAATTTTAACAACTCGATTTAATTACGGGTTCGTACGCTGTGTGTCATCCATTCACTATAACATAAACTTTATGTCATAAAGCTTCGTAAATAGCAATTATATAGAATAGAATTATATATAACACAGACGCATTTGTCACAAATTGGCGACATATAGTAAATGGATGATAACATGGCATCCCGTTAAACGGTAGAAATTAAAAGGTTTTTATTTTATTCAGGTTTTCATGAGCGTACTTTCGAAAATTCTGCGATTTTTCATTTAAGACACCAAATTCTATTATATTCTATATATTATATTAGACGAAAAACAGCTGTCATTTAGGTACTGCGTCGGTTGAGAATATAGTATTTTTCCAATGTCTTTTTTAAAGATTTTTTTTAATGCCGATTCCTCAAATAACGACAAGCTATTTTTAAATTATGATTTTTCTGTTTTGGGGACTTAGTTAAAAAACATAAAATGAAACATAAACATAAAATGAAACAGTTGCAAAGTACGTACAGCCCGAAAATTCGTATACGAACGACGAAAATCTTGCCCTTTTTTTCAATCTTGGGAAATTATGCTTCTATGTTATTGATTTCTTATAAAGGCAGTGTTAACCTCTATTTTATTCTAAGGCCACGATCAAAATTCTGGAATTTAGCTTTTAAAATATATAAGTAGTAGAAAATTAATTAGTGATCTGAGATAGAATGATCGAAATAGACTGAATCTTAGAATATTGCCGAGCAATATGAAATAATGACACATGCTTTGTGTATTTAAATTAAATATAATACTCCTCTAGTCAATGACTCAAACTTGGATATTCCCCGAAAGCCATTACTAACGTAATACCTTCTTTAGATCTGTAAATTAATAGCATATTGATATTATTATAATTTATTGCGGGTGCTTAAGTTATATGCTGAGATCTTAACAGCAGAAATAATCTAGAAACCACAAATTAAAGCATACGTAATTACGATAAGTCTTTCGTAGTATGAGTAATATTTAAAAAATTTTAATAACCTTTATTTTCATATGAATCGTTTAAGCTTGAAATGACAATAAAATGTATGGATTAAGAGAGATATATTTGTACATTCAATATTCGATGGGACATTACGTTACCAAAACTGAATCACCTTTCAGAAGTCGCAATGTGGTTAATCTTTATCCAAGATATTTCTGTAATCGTCGAGGGTCACTTAAAGGCATGAAACAATGAACCTTAGTAAATGTACATACACAGCGCACTGTTTGAAGATAAGGCTATCAAAGATAAGACTATTTGCTTGTTGTAAATATTGAGTTATGCATACGAAGTGTCTTGATTCAAAAAAGTCGATCACATATTTAAATGTTGTAATTGGTTTTGAGGTTTGGAGGGGAGATAACATTTTTCTATCAGTAGTTTATCGTTACGATTTGCAGGCTGAGTTTGTTAGTTATCTGTTGGATAAATTTCCAATTCAATTAAAGGAATTCTTATTTATAAAGTCGTTGCCGGTCTGCTACCTTGTTTAACAAACACATTTATTATGCTCCTTATTCTTTACACTTGTATTTATTTCGTATAATTTATGATAAATAACTATGTATATGCATATGGCATTGAAATTTATGGTCTAATTACACTTATAAATAGAATTGAGTACATGATACGTTCGCAGCAACATATTTTTTTCCACCTATCTTACAATTAATCAATATTCTGCGTTATCCAAGGCAACATATCAATAACGTTGGCAAAGACACCGGGCTCGGCAGCACGTCGACCACAAGCTCTTCCACCGTATGATACCACTCCGTACTGCACGTAGCGAACTGTATCCTTGTAGGAGTTGCGGAAGAAGAGCGGACCTCCTGAATCTCCGCGACATGTTGAGATAATATCGGAGCCAAGGACACAGATATTGTTCTCCGTAACGGGCGCATTTTGAAAGAAACGCCGACACACGTCGAGCTCCTGCCGTTTGACTACCGCTTTGAGCAACACGTCCGAACCTTTGTAGCTGTCCTTTTCTGTAGTTCCCCAGCCGACTATGAAGTAGCTCTGATCATAGGACACTTTTTGCGATTGCCCATCAATGGGAAGGCAAACGGGTTTGATGTGGACTATAGAATGAACGAACATTTAAGCAAGATTTTTAAGGTAATTAATGTGATTCGCTTACTTTGTTGCTTTACTGGCCGGTCCAGTTTGATTAGCGCCAGGTCATGATGTATTTCGCCATGCACGTACTGTGGATGCGACTTTATACTGGCGATGCCATACTCCTCGTAGGGTGGCAAGCACACGCGCTTCTTTCCCTTCCACTGGCAGTCCTCCTCTGTGCTCAAGTCATGCTCGCCCAAGCGTACGCCAATTCTGTGAATAGAGCAGATTAAGCAGGAGCCAATAAAACCCAAATGAAGTCCCAACTTACAGCTTGGAGTGAGTGTGAACGCAATGCGCTGCCGTTAACACATAACGATCGCTGATCAGACTACCGCCGCAGAGGAAGGGACGCTGCTGCGCAGTGTTATATTTTAGCAGAGCTAGCCAGGGAAACTCTCCAATCTGCGTTATATCTCCGCCGCTTAGCTTGATAACTGGCTTCTTTCCGCATTCGACTCCTTCAAGGACTCGCAAGCCACGTGGATCGATGCTCCCAATATTCATATTGCTGTTTCCACCAGTGGGATTGCTAGCGCGTGTCTCTACTTGGCCCTTGTCTTGGCTTTGTGCCTCGATATCGATCATCACTGAGTCGGTAGAACAGCACAAGGTCTGTCAGTTTATAGACAGAAATTAAGAAATGGTGGCTCCACAAATTAAACTTTAATTAGACAAATTTCACCTACCATTTGGCGTTGGGATTTATTGCACACTGCTGCCTCCAATTCGCGTCGCTTTGAGACTGGTACGAAGCGACCATATTTCTTGGTTAGTTCAAGAACATATTTGCACTCCTGTGGGGCAACACAATAGCCTGGTTTGTTGTCGGGTGTAAAGCAGCTTTCCTCTGTAGAGGGGTGGAGGAGTTGTTTAGAAGAACTGATGCTGCTTTTTATCAGTTAACTTACGAGTAAGAACCAGAGCTGGTGAAACCAACAAGGCCAAGGCCATAAAATTCAAAAATCTTAATGCCATTGTGCCTTTGTAGTTGCTATAGAAGATTGCAGATGCTGGACCACTTGAATTGGGATAGGTTCAGTAAATAATAACTACGTTGAAAAAGCTTCGCCGTCGACGTCACAGTTTATATCACTTGTTATTAGAACGAGATACGACTCCTATACTAAGGCTGGCTGACGATCCGACTTGCTGGAGAGCTTTTGTCGCTTCGAGTTGTGGCGCTGAACTGAGACTAAAGGCTGTCGTGTGCCAGCTTATGTAGCTCAGGTTCAAGCTTAAGCTCGTGCGCATACGCAGCACCGTTTGCGAGATCTCTTGAAATTATAAAAATGAATATACTTGTATGAATTAAGCAGTGTGCCTATACTATAGATCGAAGTGTTGTTTATTTCTCAAGAGCCCAACAGGTTTGCTCGCCTTTGGTTGGAACAGTCAATGTGCTAACAATTAGCTGGACCCAGTGCGCAGCACGTGTGGGCAAAAGCCTGACCGGGTGGCTATTCCGGCGACAAAGTTGCAGAGAGTGTAGTTAGGGTAATTAAATTTCAGGAAAGTAATGCCCCCTTAAGTACCAAAAGAGATCCCCACTCATACTAAAAGAGTGTATGCGCTCTTCATAAATTAACCACATTCCCTTCCACCTCTCCACATGGCACGCGCTCCGTACAGCATTTGTGACCAGATGTGGCGGTACTTTTTCATTGATAGGTTCGAGTTTCCCCATACAGAAGTTCCCATGCAGCTCAGTATACATTAGCTGCGTGAGCGGGTCGCGTGTCTGTGCGGTTCAAACTTGTTCGTTTGGATATACATTTCGAGGAATTTCCGTTGCCGGGAAAACCAACGGCGAGTGTAAGATTTTCGACAAAAAAATATCGGCTCCAATATAATTAAATACATTTTCTCCCCAAACGGGTTAGAGCATTAAATATCGTTGGAGAATTTATTTTCCTTATTCAAGTGCGGCTAAAAAAATCCCCGAAATTTTCGAAAACATGCTGTTACTTAAATAAATGTATTGCTTTTAATTAGCCCCTGTATATAATATGCAACATTAAAAAATATAAAAAGTAATAGGTCTTGCAATTTGCAGAACCTATTTATCTGTTTTACCTTTTTGCTAAAGAACCGTGGCGAAGTGTACACCGCTGGTACAGACTATACCAGAGTCGTTTCTCATATACTATATAGTATTTAATTAAAGGGCAACTATTGGATAGGACATCCTTTGCTTTGTTTAAATTAAACAATTATCTAATTCTATTTAGATTTCAATATATTCACTTAACACTTGATGTACTTTACATACTTAAACCTTCCCGAATAACAGATTGACTTTCGTCTAGTTTATCCTTCTATCTGTTTCCATGCAAAATAGTCTCTTTGTTGTAAAGCTATAGCACGCACCGGATCGTACTTCCATATCATAAAGCTGCCATAGAAACGATCCACCTATTTTGTATTAACTTCTTTGTTTTATAAACGAGTGTGGCTATGTAGTGGTTTTACTTAACAACATATACTCCAAACAAAAATCGCAAACCAAATACCAAAATATTTGAAATTCTTATGATTTTCTTGTTAACCTATTATACTTGTACATAGGAAGAAATTTTATTATTATAAGAATATTAAAAGACTAGTACATATACTTTTTGATTGAATTTTTGATCTAGCGCTATTAATTTTTTGAAAGCAGTGCTTTATGTACTTGCTCTAATATTTTTATTGAATTTCATTTCAAATCGTCTGTTTGTTTTTGTTGTTACACCAATCCCCCATTCTGTGCTGGGAGTGGGCTTTTAGCAAAATGTTTGTTTCTCAAAAAAGTCAGAACTCCTAATTAGTTTCTGTAAATTGGTTGGAACTTCATCATCAAGCTTTGCTTGTATTTGAAAAAGCATTTTGCTAAAGTGCAAGATATACCGTTTTGAAATTTTAAGAGACATATTTACGACTTCATTTGCATACTCGTATGTATACACATGTAGTATATGTATTTGTATAAGAGGCTTGTGCGTTTCGTAGGTGGGCAAATGTCTTGCCAAGTGGGTATTGCGACCGCGTTGTCAGAGCGATTAAATTCCAGGAAACCCCCAACTAGATCACCTTGTGTGCGCGCTCTTATTAAATATGTCTCTCTCTCTCTCTCTCTGTTGTTGCTCTCGGCGCCATGTTTGAGTGGCGTGCGCTCATAATGGGTGTGGAGACAATTTTCTTTTGATAGAATGCATCTTAATTGTTACCGTAAATCTCCATTGTGAAGGACGCATCCAAACTACGGCAATGCCCACGATTAAGATATATACAATAGGTGCGTTCTGAATCTTGTGTTCTCATCATTATTTCTTTTGGATATGTCTCGGGGAAATTCCGTGACTGGGGAATCCATTTGCTTTTGTAAGTTGTTTTGATTTTGTTTTTTGGCTTAAACGTAACTCGTTTGTCATTGTTAAATTATTTTTATTATTCAAAAGCCAAAATGTGTGAATTTGTGGCAAAAATGGTCTTAGAATGAAACAAGATACTATCTGTCAAAGTCGAGCAGCCCCGACAGTGAAACACCCTCTATCAAAAGAAAAAAAAGGTCTGAGTTCTTTTTTTAAAAATTAGATTTTAATTAATTCTAAGCTTTTTTCTCTGTTTAGTTTTTCTTTTTATATCGGAAGATCTATTGACGCCGAAAGACAAATAATATTCCCCTAGGGGGGCGGAGGCTTTTGTTAGATATTATTGTAAATTGATTAGATTTCTCCTACCTAGGCTTTCCAAGCTTTAGCAGATTCTTTTTATAATTTTTATATATTGTTCTCCTAAGTATGTCGACAGTAAATGTTTGTTGACATAAATATAAATAAATAAAAACTTCCGCTGTTGTGTATGTTCTCTGAGAGAATAAGGAGATAATATGAGAATTCCGCTGTTGTGTATGTTCTCTGAAAGAATAAGGAGATAATATGAGAAATAAATATGAACTACTTTATCTAAATTTAAATTGACGAACTGAATTCTTTAGCTGCGCAAGGGAAGAGGGGATTGAATAATAAAATAAACTCGTTTTACTTGGACAGACACATGGACATGTCAGGATTCTGATAAAGGATATTTGTTCCTTTACATACACTGCAGAAATAATATACAAACGACAATTTGAATAGGGGCTTTTATTTCACCATAGTCTATGCCATTATTACACTTATAATTGTTATCTGATTTAAAAACACAAACAAAAGTTATTCAATTATAATTTACATAAAATGTACTTTTTTCACACACCCCTACAATGCCATAAAAAATATAAACCCATTATTGCTATGAATTAACATCTCTGTTGATTGACGTACTTCAATCACAAATACACATACATACAAATACATACATACACAGTTCTAAATTGTATTTTTTGCGGTTATGGCTGGACTTGGGTCGCTCTAAAGCATCGGGGCTTCCGTCGGCGAATATGCTTAGGCAGAAGCAGAAGAATGTTAAGAATGTTAATAATTAACGCGATAAGTAATCAGCACAGTGGTTTACTTTTCATCCTATGTGCAAGAAGAGAGCATATTCACTCAGCGGAATTGATTCAGCGACTTGCAATATATATTTTCGAAGAACTTAAGTATTTAAACAGTGGGTGATAATTAATTGCAACTGAGTCAGGTTATGAGCACACAAACAGCAGAAGCTTAGACTATAGCTATAACTAGTTATATAGGCACATCAGTATACTTTTCACAGCCCGTTCAAGGCCATCTGGTCGGTTATCCATTGCACATATTCAGCAACATTTGTGTATAAGGCTGGCAGGCTGATTTCGCCGCAAGACACCACACCCAGACTGACAATACCAAACTCCACCATGCGCACCTTGAACTCGTCGAGATAGAAGGCTGCCGCCTGCAGCGGACCACCAGAGTCACCTTTGCACGAGTCCTGGTAGTCTGCGCCACCCACGCACAGCTGCGTCTTCGGGACGTCCCGTGCATATGCTTGAGAGCAGGTGGTCCGCGGTTTCAACGGCACCGCAGCTTGCAGCAATACATCGGAGGAGGAACCCTTCTCGGTAGTGCCCCAGCCAGTGACAAAGAATCCGCTTATTTCTTCCGCCTGTTGCTTCAATTCCTTTGTTATGGGCAGGCAGATGGGCTTGATGTGCCCTGGTAAAACAAAATTTTGTGTTAACTAGCTGTTTGCAGAACTTGACCAAAAAGAGGATTTACTTTCAAACTGGACGCTGCGACTCAGACGCAATAATGCAATATCATTGGCCACTCTCTTAGGATCGTAGTGCTCGTGCAAAATTTGCTTCTCTATGCCCACGTCCTGTACGGGTGGAGCGCACTTCTCTTTCCTTCCATATAGACGGCAGTCCTTCTCCGTTGAGATTTGGTGCTCCCCCAGACGCACTTCAAACCTACAAATCAAGACCAACTCTGGTTAGAAAGTTAAAAATATTTTTTCTGACGACCTTTAACCTACAGCTCCTCCTCCAATCCATAAATGCAATGGGCAGCCGTTAGAATGTAGCCTAGAAACGTAAGAAAAGCATGGAATAGTTTAAATTATACTTGTATATGTACATACAAACATATATAATATATAAAATAATGAAGATAAACGAAAGATAAGATGAAATCGAGTAACTACATGGTTTCAAACGCTAGGTGTAGGTGAATGACTTGGTAACTTGAGCTGAACTTACGATCCGAGATAAGAGTGCCGCCGCAAAGAAAACGATCACCACCATTCTGCTTGTATTTGAGCAGCGCCATCCAGGGTCTCGAGGAAATACGCACTTCCTTGCCATTGGCTACCAGCGTATTGAGCACTTTGCCGCATTCGAAGCTCTCGTTGCGGAACTGTGATATCACCTTGGAATTGTGTTGAATTTGTGAAGCTGCGCAGCAAAAATTACGCTATCGGTAATCACAATTGGATTAGAATGTATTTGAAATAGAGTTGAGGACTATTTACAATGCCACCGATCTCGCCACAGCTAGCCTGACGCAAATATTTAATATAATCCGGCGTTAGTTGTTCACCTCCACTGCCAGCAGCTTGCAGACGCAGCTCAATATCCGTGCAAGATGAGTAGGGCACGCACTGGCCCTGTTGACCCGTCGGCGTGGTGCACTGATCGGCATATGCTGCAAAGAGAATCATATCAGCTGACAATTGAGTCGGATTTAAATCTCCACCTGCCTCCCACCTGCATCAACAGAGCGCGTGCTGCTGGCGACAACAATGACGACAGCAATAGCAACTACGAAGTAGCTACGAAACATCGCGATCAACTGTGTTTTAAAAACTTAACGACAATACCTAGCGATCCGCTCAAACCTAAGCTCCAAGCACAACTGCTTGATCCGCTCTCTGAACGCACCATTTATACGCCGTAGAGACGGCCACAGAGCACACCGATAAGAAGCAGCTCATCGATCTCCCCATTCATTGGAGTTGTACAACTGCCTATTGGGGTTTTCCCCCTTTCATTCTAAAGGCTGAGGCTGTGTAGCCCTGTGAGAAACTGACCTAGGCATAAGAGCCATGAAAAAATGCAAGTTCCAGATTCTACCGTTAAGTCTCTGCAACGACTGGGACGTGCGGCATTTTTGTCTCTAACAGCATGGCTCGCTCACTAAGTTCTGTACTGCCTTTAATTTGTATTCTACAATAATCTATTCACAACAAATTATTATAGATTTAATCACTATCGCTCTCAATTTAGAAAGTATGGCGAGTGCTGCTGATGAGGCTCAACTATTGTCATACATACATAATAAATAATCGTTATACCCTCTATTTAAAAAAAAATAAATGTTTGCGTAAATGTTGTTAAGTTCCCAAAATAGAAGCCTACTCGTACTTTTACTTTTTGGCATGAGAATGTTAGTCATACGCAACATCGGGCGCCTTATATGTACTTTATTTCAGTAGCTCAAACGATGAATTCTTTTATTGTGAAACGCTAAGAGATACTTGTAGATTAATGAAAAACAAGAATAGACTCTGTATAAGGTGTGCTCGACATTGAAAATTCTTATACATATACTTTTATGAAGAATTTCACACGACTTAATTAATTTAAGATGCTGTCACTAAGAGTATTTTATCTTTTACAAACAACTTATTTCGCATTTACTTTTTAAAACCTACTTGTAAAATAGCAATATTTTGTGTGCAAATTATTTCCATCATAGCTGCAAATTATCTTAAAGCACTATAATATGTGTATAGTGAGCTTATTTGTCACTTTTATAATAAATGTGATATTGGATGAATAATTGAAAAACAAAAATTCCGTAATATATATAAAGTAAGCCCATCCTATTGTACTATTTGGGATAAAGATTTTACATGTAGAAATAAGAGAAAATGAATTCAAATATAGATTGGGCTACATTTGAGCTACTTTGCCCCGAATTCTTCCAATATCAGTTAAAAAATGAAAAAAAAAATGCTTCCATGTAATTAACTATATCTCTTAGTTCCACCTTCAATAACAACTACGAAATACTCTTCTCGTTAAGCTTTGGCTTTGAACTTATAATCAATTGACGTAAAAATTTTGAGGAAACCGGATATGGAGTGGTGTTGGTTCTGCTCTATGCATCAAAATTTTCAATGAATTGAGCGATTTTCTTCGTCGTGCCTGCTTGCACTCTTGTAATGAACTGTGCACTCTTCTGGAGCAAGATACAGGGTGCACCATCTTTTATGTCGGTATGTAAACACTGAATTTCTTTGAAAATAAACAACCGATTTTCAAGTATGAGATATTTTTATTTAATTTTGTTCTGTACAATTTCTTCAACTGAGGTTTTCAACACTGGTCTATTCAAGTCAATCGGTTACCTAATGACAAAGCCATTCAATATCTACACACCGACATAAAAGATGGCGCACCCTATATGTATCAAAGCTGATGGCGGCCAAATTTTGCGATAATTCTTTTAAACAGAGCAGACGTTGTGATACTTCGACCCTAAGGGGGTTAATAGTAACTAAAATATGGGGATACTGAGAAGGAGCCCTGCTCAGAGATGATGCAAGTATTGATAAATACAGGGAGAAGCTACAAGCTAAACAATTGCTGTGCTAACTCCCTCTTTAAGCACATCTTTGACTTAAAGCGTGAACATTGTTAATAGTAAGGTGTTATAGGTTGTTAATGATACCCAACATCGGGTATTGGGATACAAATTACATATTGAAACTATAGAGATTGATTTATAGGCCTTTCAGTGAATTGTTGAGAAAGTGCAGAGGGGGCTTATTATTAATATAAAGTCGTCTAATAGAAGTGCCGTAGAGTTATCGCCCAGGGTTTCAGAATTGTAAATTATTATATTTTATACACCATTCATACATAATTGCTACAGTATCATCTGTTGCCACAAAGAAAAGTAAAACATCGGATCAGTTTTCATGTTACTGTGGTTTTTATTGTTTTCGCAGCTATGCCTGTATATGTATGTCTGTATGATCTGGTCAATTGTACAACGGCTTAGGCGTCGATTCAATTGTTTATGCACAAATGCATAACGTGTTTATATTGGCGTTGTATTAAAATTAACTTGCGCTTTATGTTTGTAACAATAAATTATAACAAAGCTATTTAATTGCATTAATAAATATCAGACATGGTTCAACAATATAAACATAATCATACGCTATATAACTGTATATACATACATATATGTATATATGTATGTTCGCCTGTTTAAACGTAAATTAAAAACGGATATCTTAATTAATTAGTAGTAGTTTACATATTAAGCTTTAAGAGTAACGATCAGCAGCTGCTCTTTTAGCATGGGGAGAAAGAGGAGGACTCTCTTCGGTAGGGTAGCCACCGTTATCGAAGCACTTTATCTGCATATAGCCAATTGTTCTATGCGGTCGTGGGGTTGGGTTGCATTTAATTTATATGATTTCTTCGTTTTCTATATTGGCAACGAAATGGAAACATAGCAATAGATCAATCAATTGTTGAATTTGCGTTGCATTATGCGGTAATTGATTTTTAAAAGCTTTAATAAATTCTTTCAATTTGGCAAGAGCCTCGCTTTTAGCCGCTTGCTGTTGGTTTTCGTTAGTAACGGTAGCAGAGAGAAACATAGGGTGTGTATGTGAGATAAAAAAGGAGCAAGCTAGAGTTAAACAATTACTGCCAAGCCAATTTATACATAGTGGAGGAGTTATTTTACAAATTTGCAAATTAAAACATAGCACAATGGGATTTACAGTTAAAAATTAGAAAAAATACTGCGTCGTTGCGTTATCGGTACTGATCACCAACAATAAACAAGATAATTAATTCATACAAAATATTACATATATAAAGATGTAATCATATATAAAATACATAAAACGATTTTGCTGCACACCGAGCCGTTGCTTGATTGCTTGCTTGTCTCTGAATTTGTTAGTTACTACAACTCAAGTCTATGACTAAGAATTTATTTTAATAACTACACGGCGCTTTGAGCCACGATTGTGTGGCGCGTGCACTAACAAACGGGTTCGGTTCGCTTGCTTTTTAGTCACTTGGGAGAGTGGAGATTCGTTCGGCTAGTGTGCCGCTCTGTGATTTTGATCTTAAATTTGCGTGGCGAGCGAATAAATGGAAAGAGTAACATATAAATATATAACAGCGTCAGCAGCTGGAAATTGTCTATATCAATGTTTGGTTAGTTTTTGGTGCTGATGGTGTTTAAACGGATTCAAGTAGTAGTGGTATGTAGTAGCAACAGTGGGTTAGGATGCAAAACTGAGTGGTGCCAGCAACATCGATCGTTCAATTCAATCAACGGTAGCTTATTTGATAGCAGCAATTAGCGGGCTCTCTTCGCCTAAAAAAAGAGAAACAAAGAAAAAAGAACGTTAATCACTTTTTTTTCCGTAAAGTTTGGTGGGCACTAATTCACGAGTCTTTATGTAGGGCATGCGTGGCCAAGTCCAGGTGACGGGCATCGAGCATTCATAGTTGAAATTGTACAGCTGATCTTCCAACCACTTGCGTTTGTCCTGCGGTTCCGGATAGGTGGATGCCAGACCTAAGAAAATATATAAGATTATTCGGACTTCTTCATTAGAAAATTACAGGTTCGAGAAAAATGAGAAGCACTCACCCTTGTCATAGGCACACTTGGTCACACCGATAGCTATGTTCATCGATACTTCCTGTATGCTCTGCAATGGCGGATATAGGGAACCCCGCTCAATATCGCTCAACTCCACGAAGTTGGCCAACTCCTGGGCAGCAATAAGGAACATGTCATCGGGTATGTGATGGGTGCCTGTGCAAATAACGCCCAGTGCTACACCAGGGAAGATGTAGGCGTTGTTTCCCTGGCCCGGATAGTAGGTCTTATCGCCCACGTTGACCGGTGGGAAGGGCGAGCCTGAGGAAAAGATGACACGTGCCTAAAAGGAGAGAATTTTGTGACAGTAGTTTTAAATTTTTAAATATTTGTAATCTATATAGTATAAATATATATCATCTCCAATTAATGTTCGTTAAAAAACCATATTCACGCCTTCCCTTTTCTATAATCCAATAATTATAATTATAAATTTTATGGATTCATTGAAACGATTTATAAATTACGAATTGCATTAAATTATGAATGCAAAGGGTTCAATAGCGTATTTACTAGATGAGCATTTGATATGTTATTCTCAATAACATACATCTACATATATAACTTCTTTATATACTAGTACGTACATCGGTGTTCTGATAGGCCTGCTCAGCTGTGCATTCTGCCTTGCTGGTTGGATTAGAGAGCGCAAAAACTACGGGTCTATCGTTGTTATCCGCCATGGTACGCAAAATCTTCGGTGTAAAGAGACCGGCACAAGCCGAAGCTCCAATGAGTACCTATAAGGATAGACATTCAATAATTGATATGATTGAATACGTAAAAGCATTTCAAAGACTTTGACTCACATTTGGTTTGATGGCACTGACAATCTGCTCGAGATCTTGCATGGGCTCGTAGTCCTTGGCGTAGTTAACCTTATGTCCATCTAAGTTACCAATTTTGCGCGTTGTTGTAAGCAGACCATCAATATCAACCATATAGATTTTGCTGTAGGCCTCCTCTGTGGAAACGCCTTCCGATACCATGGCCTTGACCACAAGATCTGCGATGCCAATGGCTGCTTCTCCTGCGCCCGCAAAGAGGAAAGTATAATCCTTGAACGACTTGCCAGTTACACGCTTTGATGCGTACAAGCCAGCGACAGCCACAGCAGCTGTTCCCTGTATATCATCATTGAATGTGCAGTATGTGTTGCGATATTTGTCTAAAAATCTAAATGCATTGTGGTTGCCAAAGTCCTCAAACTGTATAAGCGTATTCTGACCATATCGCTTTACCACCGCCTCCATGAACTCATCAATAAAATCGTCGTACTCACGACCCACAACACGCTTCTGCCTTAAACCCACATACAGTGGATCCTCGAGCAAATCAATGTTGTTGGTGCCGACATCCACCACAATTGGCAGGCACTGATGCGGCTTAATGCCAGCCAGGGCTGTGTACAAAGCCAGTTTGCCCACAGGAATGCCCATACCGCAGGCTCCCAAATCGCCCAATCCCAATATACGTTCACCGTCCGTCACACATATAGCTCGCACATTTGGCTCCGGCCAGTTCTTCATAACATCAAAGATGTGCCCGCGATCGTTGAAAGTCACAAACAAGCCATGAGGACGTCTATAGATCAGGCCGAAACGTTGACAGGCCAAACCTACTGTGGGCGTGTACACAATAGGCATCAAATCCTCAATGTTCTCGGACAGAAAGCGGAAGAACAATCGCTCGTTACGATCGTGCAAATCGCTCAGATACAGATACTTGTTCAGTGGTTCCGTATAGCGATTGACAGCAATTTTGCATAGCTGTAGCTGCTCCTCCTGCGTCTTAAAACGCGCGGGCTGAAGACCGTGAATGCCCAGCACCTGACGCTCCTCCAGCGTGAAGGCCAAGCCCTGAGGGTCAGTAAAAATATGGGCATTAATTAAAATCAATATGGAAGGGTGGAAAACCAAATAGCTAAAAGACTGTCACTTATGAATTTATTGATTTCTTCATGGTATGACTAAGTATTACAGATCTACATATTTTTTTACTTAATTTTTTAAATAAATACATACATTCGTAAAAATTAATAATCAAAAACAGTTTAAAGAATTAAATAAGATATACATTTATAGCTTCAATCCAATTGGAAATGCAGATAATACATAAATCTCAATATTTTTATTTGGTTTAATTTTACGATATTTCAGGATTGGAAATATAACCCACACACATACAACATCCTGCAAGCCTTATTTAACCGATGCACGAGTTATGTTTAAAATATTGTTAAAGATTAACCCATTTTAACTTACTTTATTCAAACGCGGATCACGTATGTGATCGATGCCGCGAACCTGCGAGGGGCAGATGATATCGCCAACCACCTCATGGTAACCGCGTGCTTCATTCAAAGCCAAAGCCGCAACGGCTGGCGTTGTTGATGTTGTTGTTGCTGCCCCAGTGCGACACAATTTGCTGAGATTTCCACACACACTGCAACAGAGAAAAATGCATGCAGTTATGTACTCGCCTTATTACAAGTATTTATTAAATTATATTTGTTGATTGGCAAATTAAGCTGAGCTCGGCTTGACAGTTTCCTGACAGTGTTGCTAAATGCGCTGAAACACGCAAAGCCACAGGCCTCAAGTCCAAGGTCAGCTGTGCTTTGTTTATCATTTATTAGTGGGGCTACATAGCACCAAAACAAACGCCGCAATGTTTGCAACAGCTGATAAAAGATGAGAGCTATGCACACACATATACATACAAGATAGCTTTATACAACAGAAGTACTATTATATATGGAATTGGTTGTGTGCGAGTTTGTTTATTTGCACAGTTGGTGTTAAGAGCAGGCCTTAGCTGAATCCACAAAGCACTCTTCAGTGGCCACGTGCAGTAGCATTATATTAATTTCCTGACTAATTGCCGAAGCTTGTGGTTCTGTAATGAAATCAGGCAAAATGTCAGAGTAGCTGGCTATGCATCGAGAGCCGGCTCCCACCAGTTAGTGCTGTCATGAGTAAGCACATGATAGGCCCTAACGTTACGTTATTGCTGTCATATGTGTGTGTAACTTAACCATAGAAATACCACGTTTTGAGAAATGCGCCCTTTTAAGAGATTTTCAAATTGTTTTCACAAATTTAAAATTAAATGTCTCAATCTGATTAGTTCTCATATTTGTAACTCAACATATCTAAAGATAAGCTTTATTTTCGGCCTGGAATGAAAAAATATTAAAACATAATGTTGTTTAGAATGTTTTTCTCTTTTATTTTTTTTTAAAACACTTAAGTTTTCCCTGTAAGTAACAATACCGATAGGAATTAGGAACAATAATCAATAAGGCCCCATATTATAAAACAGTTTTAGGAACTCACGGTCCAAAAAATAATTCTAAGTACTAAAAACTTTTCTGTTTACCTCGGTATTTATGAGATTTTTAGGTGCCTCATCTAATATTTAATAAAAATCGGTGAACTAACTCATATAATTGTAATAGCAATGATTTTTAAAATCCGGGTTGGAACGACTTCAGCGTTCTAGTCGTCTTACAATTTCTAGGGTTAAAAATGCGTTTGATAATTATCGAAAACATTTCGTTGCTGAGTGTCGGGTATCAGGTATTATCATCATATGCCATTTCACTTTGTATCTATTTGTACAATGAAGCGCTAATGTTGGTGAAGCTCACATGAGCAGGGCGAGCGCTAAATTATTTCGCACACATATGTATGTATGTATGTATGTACATTGTACATACAAGCACATGCTTGTAGGTCTGTACGACACGTAAATGTTTCCGTACTTGAGTATTTGCCTGTTTCTGTGTATTCGTATGCTTGTATGAAACATCTACTTAGAATGACGTTAACGCTAACGCCAATGTACACGCTGACGTAGCTCAAATAGCGACAAGTTTTTGACCAAGCTATAGCAACTCATTACCTGCTGATTTTATTGCTTTTTCCATCTGTCTATACTATAGAGTCTACAGCGTATGGGAAACAAAAGTCAATGCACTCTTGAGTCAAAATAGTTTTGGCCAGTTGGTCTTTTCGCTGTGGCAGTCCCAACTTAAGGCAGAAAGCATATACATATACATACATTTGTACATACGCCGCATCTATATATGTACATACATACATACATATGTCCATTTTAATGATGATGAGTAACATTTGAACTTGGCAGCGAGCAGCAGAAATGCGAAATACAGACCGTTTACAAAAGCGCAAAACCAAAATTTACATACTATACATACAAAAGTTTATTAAAATTAGATATTTTGCATTTGGAAGCGCAACATTTAAACAAATGAATAAAACACACGGGACGTGGGAAATATTTTTAAGCATTCGCTGCCAACTGTGTCCATGTCCATGAACGTGAAGGTGTCTTCTCCAATACTAATGCAAATTGCCGTTAGCTAGAAGCGAAGATATGTACATACATATGTACATACTTGTATGTATATAAAAAGCGTCGGCGTCGCCTGTTGTTATACATATTGATTTTTCAGCTGTTTTGTTTTGTTTGTGCGGCTGAGTATGTGAGTGTGTATTCGCATTTTTTGGCAACAAATAAGAAAAGCGCACTAAGATTGTCAGAATATTTCTCTTACTTATGGGATTATGCAACTAAATGAAAGTGAAAAAAACCTCCCAAGCTTTCAACAGCAGCTGTTAGGCTAGGCGAATGAGCAAAGGGCTTGGCAAACATAAAAAGGAGCAGAATAAGCGCAATCTGCGCAAGTTAGGTCAATGCCAAGCCATGTGCGAATCTGGCCTACTCTCTGCCTGTGTGTATGCAGGATTGTAGCTGTGTGAGTGCCAATGAAAACGAAAGCTGCACGATGTATGTATGTACATATGTATATACTATGTGGAAGTAACGCTTTGGCGGCCACTCGTCTGCCACGATGGCTAGGTCACGAGGAAAAGAACTGCGGTAGTGCGGGGCAGACTGTTTGACGGTTGGAGTTGCATAATGTCCACGTACGTATATACACATAAACCAATATGAAAAAATTCCTTTTGCAATTTGACGCTAGCCATTGTTGCATATGCACATATGTACAAATTTTTAAAATTCGAAAGCTTACCTTGGCCGTGAAAACATTCTGTCTTTTATTTCGTTTTTAAAATTGCTTTGCTGTGTTAACTTTTTGAAGAATGACGCGTTAATCTAAGCTTGCTTTTGCTTTCACACTTAAATGTTAGCTTAAATAAATTTGTGTAATAATACTTTTAGTTTTATGGTTGTTGCCAACCTCCCGAAACACACAACAACAACAATCAGCGACGACGCGATTATCCAGAAATTGACCAACAAGAACGCAACGCGCTCCCTAACTGACTGAATACTATGATATAAAAAAACTTGCGCGCGCCGCACAGGCAAAACGAACGGAAGATAGAGATGTGCTCGTGCTAGAAAAAAAAATACACGAACACTATGGTCATACCCATGCCTCGCTAACATTTTCGATATAAAGACCTTTTTATTTTAGATTATATGAATGAACGTGATGAGCAGAGTAATAAATAAAATTATTTGCTAGCGATACGAGCCCATTATAACACGTATATGCAATACATTCAGTGTCCATCCCTAATGTATATTAAAAACCGCGCAACTTCTTCAGCAGTCTGGCAGCACTGCGGGCTTGTTTACGTTTCCCAAGCAACCAGTGCACAGTTTGGCAGCCTCAAATAAAACAGTTGATAGGTTATTGTAGTGCTACCACAATTTCAAATGATTTTATTTATTTGTTAGTGACCATTACAATAAAATAGTACACAATTAGTTGGTAAAAGGAAATTTCCTTTTCCCCACTAAAAGCAGCTGACACATAGCTTTGCATAGAAGCATTTTCCCCCAAATCGGTGATAGCATTTTCATTATCATTGGTATTTAGGGGTTCAAATGTGTAAAGGGCACGAAATCCATTTGATACAAAACGGTCGTTAGAGTGAAAAGTCATGCGGAAGAAACGCCCATCAGAGTGCACTTCAAAGTTTTGAAGTTTACCGCAATATTTGCTGAATTTTCGATCCGTGCTCATGAAATTCGAGAACTCCACATAATCACTGGCCGTCTGATGATCGCAGCTAAATCAAAACATGAAACATTTTAAAGAATAAGCTTTTAAGGGGGTTTCAGAAATGTTAAGTTTGTCTAAAGTCGCAGTATTATGTTTTCGAAATATTAGACTTTAAACAAATTTTATGATACAGAATCATTCAAATAATTGTTACAAACTTACTTGCCAATGCCCTCGACATCAAAGTAAGTAAAACGTAAGACAACGCGCTCATCGTCATCACCATAAAAGTAGTAATTGCACACTACGTCCTCAAGATAGTAGCCGGGAAAATTGGGGGAATGAAAGAGACCGCTTGTCTTCACGGTGCTGTTGTACATGAAACTGCAGTCATTGCCAAGTTGAGTTCCAGACGGAATGCCAAAGTCTGCAGTATTAGAAGGATATGAATTAAACTGTATAAGGATGATTTAAATCATCCTACTTGTCAAGAATTTGTACTCCGCTCGAAAGCCATAATACTGCACTTTATTCGTCATTACGGGTGGTTGCTTTCCCACAAACTGGAGCTGCATTTGCTTTCCGGTCGACATTAGCGGCTTTGGCAGAAAGGCGCCACAGAAGAGCTCCTGCGTCTCGAATTTTCCGCGAACTTGCGTGAGCAGCTGCAGGGAATCATTGGCCATGCAGTTGCTCGAGTTCTCTCGCTCTGTTGGAATATTAAAGTCATGGAACTTGATTTGTATGCGTTCCGGTTCTTGCGCTTGAAACTCATAACGGCATTGAACGACGCGCGTAACGCCGTCATTCTTTTTATTGCCGGCGCTGGCAAATGGTCCTAACAGCTGATTTGACTCAAATATGCCGGACTTGTTTACTCGCGAGTCGAAAATCTGCCTGCAGTGCTCTGTAAAATTAGAAGTTTATGATTAAATTATTACAGTTTACGAGCTCGAAGCGACTGACAAATCGACATTTTGTGCGACTACTTGGAATGGCCAACAAGACACAATATAATGAGGACAACAAGTTGGACACATTCCGACGTATTTGTGATAAAATAGCCGCTGAGTCAAGCTATCTGAGCAAGGCCAAGGTACTGGAGCAATACTTTGCCAAGGGCATCAGTGGCAATGGGTTTGTGGGTGATAAGTTATTGTGGGTTCAATTTCTAATCCCGGGAGCTTCACAACGAGTCTACAATCTCCAAAACAAGGCGCTTCTAAAGCTTTTCGCACGCATTCTCCACACGGATCAGCAGCAAATGCATCTGGACTTGGAACAGGGTGGGTTTGCTGCACTTTACAAATTGATTATGTGCGTATTAACATGTATTTCTTTCTTATAGATGGCGATGTGTCGGAGACATTGCAAAAGCATTTCGAATCCTCCACCAAGCTAAAACCGCAGGCACAGAGCAAACTCTATCTTCAAGAAGTTGAGAAGCTACTTTGCGAGTTGGAACAGCGCACCAAGGAAGACGAGCAAACCGAACTGTTGCGAAACTTTTGCACACAAGCCACCGACTTGGATTTGCGAACTTTTATAAGACTGATAAAGCAGGATTTGCGCATCAATGCCAGGGCACGCCACATACTTGACGCCTTTGGGCCACTGGCCTACCCAGCGTATCAGGCATCGCGAGATTTGGAGGCCATAGTCCGTCAATTTGGTGGACAAACAAAGCCAAGCAATCTACAATCTACAGCAACAAAGGGGGCGGCTGCCAAGAAGGGCAAAGCATTGCCCAGTGGTATTCAAGTTATGACGCCCATATCGCCCATGCTGGCAAATGCCTGCAAGTCTGTGGAGGAGGCATTCAAGAAAAGTCCCAGCGGGCTCTACAGCGAAATAAAATACGATGGCGAGCGCGTGCAAATCCACAAACAAGGTAGCGAGTTTAAATTCTTTAGTCGCAATCTGAAGCCTGTAATGGACCACAAGATTAAAAGACTCAAGGAGTACATACCAAAGGCATTTCCTAGTGCTGGCGACATGATTCTAGACTCGGAAATTATACTTGTAGATACGGAGACTGGGGACTTGCTGCCTTTTGGCACACTGGGAGCACACAAGAAGGAGACATATGACAATGCCGCCGTTTGCCTTTTCGTCTTCGACTGTATACTGTACGATGGCGATGACTTGACGCAGATGTGAGTAACATAAACTTTGATTTCTACTTTAGGAAGGTAGAATGAGTTGAAAAATGTACTTATAATATTTTATTTTTTTAGGGAGTTTCGGGGTCGTCGTGAAATATTGGAGCAAAATATTAAACCCATAAAATCGTATGTGCAGTTATCTGAATCGCAGTTTCTCAAAACCAAGAGCGAGCTCTCAATTATGACAGCCAAAGTTCTGCAGGCCAATCTAGAGGGTGTAGTGTTGAAGAGTCCGAACGGCACCTACCAGCCTGGACGACGTGGGTGGTTAAAGGTGAAGAAGGACTATCTTTTTGGCGGCAAAATGGCTGATACAGCGGATTTGGTAGTGTTGGGAGCCTGGTATGGGTCTGGCAAGAAAGGCGGTGTGCTCAGCATTTTTCTCATGGGTTGCTACGATGCACGTGATCGATTGTGGAAAACTGTGACTAAGGTGCATTCAGGACTGGACGACGCCACCAACGAAGAAATTCATAATAATTTAATGCAGTTAACCGATCGTACTACTGCCAACAAAACACCTAATTGGCTGCTATGCAAAAAATCGCTGGTGCCCGATGTGCTGGCCAAGGCTCCTGAAAAAATGCCCGTCTGGGAAATCACCGGAGCTGAGTTCACCAAGTCGGAGGCGCATACAGCAGCTGGAATATCAATACGCTTTCCTCGCATAACGCGGCTGCGTAGCGACAAAACGGCCAAGGAAGCCAATGACTTGGAACATTTGGAAAAACTGTTTGCAGCCTCAAAACAAAATATAAATGTAGACCTCTTGCTGGCCAATTGTAATGAGGATGATGAACTAGAAATTAAAGTGGAGAAGACGCCTAAGAAAGCTAGTCTGGATAAGAAAGCAACAAGCAGCAGGAAGAAATTGAAGCGCTCCAACAACGATACAGATGACGAGGAAAACGAAGGAGCAGGTTCCTCTCACAAAAGTAGTGCCAGTAAAAACAGAAAGCTGGAGACATCGGCGACTAAAACTACAGTGCCTCAGAAAGGTCTAATGGACTATTTCAAGCCAAACTCAAGCAGGGCGACTTTAAAAAATGAGGAGAACATAAAAAGTGAAGAACTCGAAAAGAGCAAGAAGAGTAATTTATTTACTGGACTGGTGGCACATTTTACAACAGATGCGGCGCTGCCCGAGCACAAGGATGCCTTTGTGAGCAATGGCGGCACTTTGACAACAAATACTCAAAAGGCTACACTGGCCTTCTACAGCAAGAATACATCTACCGATCTGCAACAGATAAGGTGGGTAAATGTAGCTTAGTAAATGTATTTCCTCATACAATTTTTCATTAGTTAAAACAACAGGTTAGCGATGACATTTTTCAATAAGAGTTACGAAGAAATATATAGTCAGTTGTTTATATTTAACATCTTGCACACGGCTCTATAATATTATTTATACATAAATGGTGTTATTGCCATCTTTGGAATAATTGACAAGAAATTAATGTTTTTCTTACTGCAATCATTAATTCTTCGATGGTTTCCTCATTCATGATAGTTAGTCAATTTTATTGACATTAAATTAAATGCCAATATAAAATATCAAATTTTCTACTATTATTTATTTGCAAACGAATCGTTTTCATATCTTTTGGTTATAGAATTAGCCCAAAATGTAATTCAAGCTAGAAACTGTAGCCTGGCTAAAACAGTTCGCAACGATACAGGTGTTTGTCAATCTTAAAATATCTACCCTCTATTCCCAAACATAGTTTCCAGGGATTAAATTATTAATTAAATTAAAAAAATTAAATCACCTAAATAAATACTTCTTCAGTCTAAATTTACTTTTTAAACATTTTTCTCAATTTGTGTAATTCTAATAAGAGAAAAGCCATTATAATTGAATCCAGGCACGTAGATTTTCCTCAGGTTCTGAAATTATTTCTTAATTGCTAGTTTGAGCTTGAGATATTATATTTTAAGTAATTCTTTGGGAAAGTTTGATATACTACTTAGTATTAGGTATAGGTATGTGTTGATAGACAAAATAATACAACAATAATACAAACGTGGGATTCAGAAAGGACATGGTTATGATTTTATTTCTTTAACTCTTGTATTTCATCGAATATTACAAAACTTATTTGTCTTCATGATAAGTTTCGTCATGTTAGGTCAACTCTAAACTCCCATAGAAAAATATTGTGTCACATCTGAATTTCACAAATTTCCACACCACAAACGAAATATGTTAACCTAAACAGCGGTCCCTTATTCTGTTGGCTTGTTCTACGATACGATTTGTTAACAAAAAGCATTATAAGTTTACATTTTTCAATGCTATTAGATGAAGAAAATTTAAGCACATAATTTAAAACTTTGAAGCCATTAATTAATTCAAATATTCAAAATAAAGCAAAGAGCTATCTCTGTTTCGGTTTGAAATTTTTCTGAAAACATTCTCGCTAAGAATATATATCAGTAATGGGCAGAGTTGTGGTTGAAATAACCTAAGTATTATTTCACAGTGTGTTATGCCGATCACTTAATTAATGCTCTCACACATCTATTTATTTTGTAGATCAATGTATCGTCGTGGATGTCGTCATTTGAATGTAAGCTGGCTCCGTGCATCGTTGGAGGCGCAGGCGTGCCAGCCCCACCCTCTCTATGCACTGGTTCTCAAATATTAGCAAAAGCCGGTTAACTCAAATTACATATAGATTCTATTTATAGCAACGGGCAGAGCTCATGCCTTTTGCGACGCTTTCAGATAAAACAAAATATTATTGTTTTTGTTTTGGGCGAAAAAATTTAAATGTGTATGTGTAATAACTTGTTAAATTATATTATGTGATTGTATGTATGTACATATATTTATACTATATACTAGAAATATATTTATCAAGCGTAAACGCAATCATTTTAATTGATATAGACAAAGCTTGTTGAAAAAGCTTGGACGTCGGCAACAAATTGTACGCGCAGTTAGTTTAATTCCGGACGCTCTAGTCGCTGGACACGCAATAGCTCTCGTCTAAATGTTACTGGAATTTTTGGCGCTCTTTGGCGTTGCTGTGTTCCTGCTCTATCGCTGGGCGACGCAACATTACAGTCATTTTAAGGACCGTGGCATACCCTATAACGAGCCATGGCCATTTGTGGGCAGTATGTCCGATATGTTCCTGCGTCGCAAGTCCATGTTTGATGTCGTCATCGATCTTTACAATCAAGGCCAGGGCAAGTGAGTAAACGACAAATGACAAGTATAACTACATAATTATGGGATAATAGCTGCACATCTCTACCATTCGAAATGAACTATACGCACTCTATACTTTTCACTTGACTGCGTTCAATGCCCCTCCGTGCTGTGACGTCACCTGAAGGTCAAATATTTTAATGTAAAAATTAAACACATGGCAGATTGTTTAGATGGGAGCGGCCACGAAAAACAATTACGCCGTTATGTGAAACGTTGCGTTTGCAATATTGAACAAACAAAAAATCTATCTAAAACCCCACAAAAGCTATTGAAGCGCTTTCACGATATTTCACAATTGTATTATCATTTACAAGCAACCAATGTGTAATTGCTGTTTGATAAATTAACGATTGGGGGTCGGTCGATTTCTGAAATTATGTCCGACTAGCAGGTATTGCCCGTTTTAACCCGGCTCAATATAATGTTTCCAATTGTATTTGTTTTGTGTGTGCATAACCTACCCATATGTTTTCACCTTATAAGTTACCAGTAGGAAGGCATTTAAGGTATTTAAATGAACATTTTCTGTTCTTGACAAAAAATTGTTCAGTAGTCCGTTACATTTTTGTTCTTGCCAAACTATTTCGTTCAACGAACATGACCACTATAACTAATATTTTTTAAAGCTCGATTTCCCCCCGTTGGAGCTAGAATTTTCCAAAAGCCTTTCTTAGTGTGCTCCTACACTATGATGGATACTATGAAAAGATACTTGAGTCCAAATTTCATCTTTTACCGTTTGGGCTGTGCGTTGATCACCAATTAGTCAGGACAAACTGTTTTATATATAGAGATAACGCAACGTTTTAAGATAGACGATTTGCAAAAAAGGGGGAATAATTATAAGGGTATATCCTAATTTTAAATTCACATTTGAGCCTTTTCGTGTCATATTGAGTCAATACGGTCACGCACAAACTCGGAATATGAAACACGGCACTCGTGTCAATGCCGTGCAGCGATGAGCCACGATCAAAAAGCACTGACAATTCTCATCTCAATTTGCTAGAGTAAAACTTTCGATAGTTGAAGCCACCGATACCATCAAAATATCGAAGTTTGAATGCAATAAGCAGAATATTTAAAAAATAAAATCTAATTATTTATTGAGATCAATAAGAACAAATCATACATACATACATCTGCCCGCAATGCGAAGCAGAATATGCGTAGCTCCGTTATTCGGTTTCTGCTTTACTATCGCTTACGCAGTCGTTGCTTAGCGACGGTAACTGTAAACTTTTGGCGTTTTGGCTTTGCAATTAACATTAAATGGTCAAAACGAAAGAAGATGTGCGAGCCAACAACTTAAAGTTGTTGTTGTTGTTTTGTATGTACATGCTACATACATATACAGGCATACATGCATATGCATGTACATATGTATGTATGCATGGGCACACATAGACACGAACTGTTGCTTGTTGTGTGTTTGAGTGTGTGTATGCGATGTCCCCAACTATTTGATATTTGATATATGGCAAGTAAAAAACATATTGCTATATTTTAATCGTTGAATGCCAATTTGTTGATATAGTTATGTTGATTACATTACCCAAATTTGAAATCGATCGGACAAAATTTATAACACAAACTATTCATTTGAAAAAGTGAATAAATATTAAAACCCCAATAATAAAATTAAATGCGATATATCGAAAATATCGATACTTGTGTTGATATATCGTAATACATGTCGAATACAAATACATCGAAAAACATCGTTTGAGAGTTATTGATTATAATACTGTATTCGATTGTTCACTGTACACATATGTACATACATACATACAAATGTATTTGTGTGTGTACGGTAACTGTAAACTTTTGGCATTTTTCGTATGCAATTAACAGCCGTAAATTATCAAAACGAAAGAAGTTTTGCGAGCCAATAACTTGTTGTTGTTGTTTTAAAAATTTTGATTTGAAAACATAGAACACTATTTATTACAATTAAACAACAGTGTTCGATGGCCCACTGCATACATACAAACCTATATATGTATATAAGAATGTATGTACGTACATACATACTTATTGATGTACATATGTACATACTATACATACAGACGTATGTATATATGTATGTACGTATGTAATACATATGGTGCTGGTGTAATTCATAATGCGAAATTCTTTCTAAGGGGAGCAATGTCCCCCCTGCCCAACCTGCGTACGCCCTTGTAGTCCGTTGTCCTAAAATCCCTTATGCCAAATGTACTAAACAAAGAAAAAATAACATAAAAATGTTTATGTTATAATGTTAATAATTTTTAATTAATTAACATTTCTTGCCCTGTCAGTGCAAGACGAATGTACTTTTATACATATGTATGTATGTATATATGTACATACATTTGTACAAATGAACATTCACACATTAGTGTCTCACATTTTGCTTTGGCTACTTCAACCGTTTGCACGCAACTACACGAACAGCTGCTTGTATATATGTATGTGTGTGTGTATGTATACTTAGTTGTCCCCAACTGTCTGATATTTTGTATTGTTTGTTCTGCCTGCATTTGTAAAATGCATATTTTAAAAATCGTTAAATGCAAAGTTGTAATTTTAGTTACGTAGATTATATTACCCAAATTTGAAATCGATCGGACAAAATTTATAACACAAACTTTTCATTTGAAAAAATGAATAAATATTAAAACCCCAATAATTCAAGCTCCAACACAAATTTCGAAAAACCGAGCATGCAGTTTTGTTTGTATTCTTTTATAGATTATAAAAACCAAATTTAAAGTTGATCGATTCAGAAATGCAGAATTTTCAAACAAACTTTGGAGCTACTTTTCCCCCCTTTGGAGCTCGAATTTTCGAAAATCCCTTCTTAGTGCGCATCTACACCATGATAGGATACTTGAGCCCAAATTTCAGTTTCCTAGCTTTTACCGTTTGGGCTGTGGGGTGTTGATTGTGTTTCAATTTTTCCACGGAAAACCCCCCTTTTTTCATGCCCCAGGAAAAATGGTGAAAAACCAAGTATACAGTTTTTCTTGTATTCTTTTTGAGAGTATACAAACTAAGTTTGAAGTTAATTGGATGAAAATTGTAGATTTTTCATACAAACGTTGGAGCCCGTTTTCCCCCCTTTGGCGTTCGAATTTTCCAAAACCGCTTCTTAGTGCTCACCTACACCACTGAAGACAACATGTGTCCAATTTTCAGCCTCCTAGCTCTTACCGTTTAGGCTGTGCGTTGATTGCACATAGCTTTTCGTTTACCGAATTTTCCACCGGAAAATCATTATTATTCAGGCCGCAGGAAAAATATTGAAAATCCAAGTATACAGTTTTTTTTGTATTCTTTGTGAGAGTATACAAACTAAGTTTGAAGTTAATCGGATGAAAATTGTAGATTTTTCATACAAACGTTGGAGCCCGTTTTCCCCCCTTTGGCGTTCGAATTTTCCGAAACCCCTTCTTAGTGCTCACTTTCACTATAAGAGGGATCTTGTGTCCAAATTTCAGCTTCCTAGCTCTTACCGTTTGGGCTGTGCGTTGATTGCCAATCAGTCAGTCAGTCAGTCAGTCAGTCAGTCAATCAGTCAGTCAGTCAGTCAGTCAGTCAGTCAGTCAGTCAGGACAAACTGTTTTATATATATAGAGATAACGTTAAAGTTTGCGCCATATACTAACAAAGCTCAAATCTAAAGTACTTTGCATACAAAACTGTTTATCAATTTCGTTTGCCATGCTCGAGTGATAACTGCGATACGAGGGTGACTATTTTCAGTAAAGCACCACATTTTAGTACATAAATATATTCATTTGTCAGCATCCACTCGAATACTACGTTTTCTAAGGTATTTATTAGGTATGCTTTTCTCCTATTCATGTTTTTCTTTTTTTAAATAATGCTTCAGAAAACTGCCTGATCGAAATCAGTGTGAGGTCGAGGGATATTCGGTGTAACGACTGACACGAATAATTTCAAGTACAGTTGTCATTTACGATCTTTGCCTGTAACATACTAGCAATGTGCATACATACATAGTTATCACATAAATCTCTAAGTCTTGAAATACTATAAGTACTGTGAATGTCGTGATTCACTTGCCAAGCATCTGACACGCATACCACTCGATGTCAATTAACACCTAATCTTTTCTTATTATCAACACCTTACCCACTAGACTTTACGGTATCTTCGAGCAACGCAAACCACTGCTAATGATTCGGGATCCGGAATTAATCAAACAAATTACCATAAAAGATTTTGATCATTTTATAAATCATCGTGATGTGTTTGGCAGTGGCGATGAGAACGATACGGATAATTTGTTTAGTAGCTCGCTGTTCTCGATGCGTGATGGCCGCTGGAAGGATATGCGCACCACTTTAAGTCCTGCCTTTACGGGCAGCAAGATGCGTCAAATGTTTCAGTTGATGAATCAGGTGGCGCAAGAGGCCGTAGAAGGCCTGAAGAACGAGCCTATGGTGGATAATGAGCTGGAGTTGGACTTGAAGGACTATTGTACGCGATTCACCAACGACATAATCGCCTCGACAGCTTTTGGATTGCAAGTGAACTCTTTTAAGGAGCGCGAAAATACGTTTTATATGATGGGCAAGAAATTGACAAACTTTACGGCTTGGCAGAACTTCAAGTTCTTGCTCTTTACTAGTTGTAAGAGAATTATGAAGGTGGGTAAAAATTCAATTAAACTAAATAAGTCAGGGTTTGAAAATGGTGCGGAACGAATTCGTGTTAAGATTCTAGTATTGGCAAGTTCAGCTTCTCACTTTCGGTTTCCATTAAAACTTTAATAGTAAGAGATCCTGTTACGGTTCATTATTAAGACTCTAAGCTTTAGGGCTAAGAATGGAGTACTTCAGATTTGCCGTTCTATTTCGGTTTTCCGTTCACATTCTGTTTTCAATGCCTAGATTTATTTTAAATCGTTGAATTTAGAAATGTCGGATATAGAAAATAATATATATTTCATATGCAGCTATTAAAAATGACGCTCTTTGACAAACAAACTACGGAGTATTTCATGCGCCTCGTGCTCGATTCCATGAAATATCGTCAGGAGCATCATATTATACGGCCAGATATGATCAATATGCTGATGGAATCACGTGGCATGTTGCCATCGGACAAGCCCAAGCCCTTGCATAATCGGGAATGGAGCGATGTTGATATTGTTGCCCAGTGTTTTGTCTTCTTTTTTGCGGGCTTCGAGACATCGGCGGTGCTGATGGCCTTCACAGCGCATGAGCTAATGGAGAATGAGGATGTGCAGGATAGGCTATACGAGGAGGTGTCGCAGGTTGACAGTGACCTGGAGGGCAAAGAATTGACCTATGAGGCACTGATGGGCATGAAATATATGGACCAAGTCGTATCGGAGGTTTTGCGCAAATGGCCAGCTGCCATAGCTATAGATCGAGAGTGTAACAAGGACATCACCTACGAGGTTGATGGAAAAACCATAGAGATTAAAAAGGGCGAAGGTGTCTGGCTGCCCACGTGTGGAATTCATCGTGATCCCAAGTACTATGAGAATCCCTCAAAATTCGATCCAGATCGCTTTAGCGAAGAGAATAAAGACAAAATACAGCCCTTTACATATTTCCCATTCGGCGTTGGTCAACGTAATTGCATAGGTAAGTACAAAGTAGTTGCTGGAATTGTCAAATCTCAAAAATGCATGCTCCGCTTATTTCTCGACAGGTTCACGTTTTGCGCTGCTGGAGGCCAAGTCTGTTATATTTCATCTGTTGCGTGATTTTCGGTTTGCCGCTGCAAAAAAATCAACCGTTCCTCTGGTGCTCAGCGCTTCCGGCTTCCAGCTGAAGCCGAAAACTGGCTTTTGGCTAAAACTCATCCCCCGCAACTAAGCCGAACAATGTATTTTTTATTGCTGTTTCAGTTGTGTTACACATGCCATTTCTGTTGTTGTTGTTTGATTTGAGGCGCAAGCCAGTATAGTAATTAAAAACGAATACAAATGTCCAATAAAAATATATTGGAAACACACAAAGGGCCTTTGAACCGATTGTCTAGTCAAAGCGAAGCTTTACTCACGTCACCGATTGAATTTGGAATAATTATAGCCCTTTACATAAGTATGTGTATGTAGGAATCCCGACAACAACTAAATAATCAATAACTACGTATATATTCGTATGTGTTTGTTGTAGTTGGCCTGGGGCGATGGCAAACTTTGAAATTCTCTTTGAAAATAGCGCAGGTCAATTCAATTTGTAATCTAATTGTATGCTCATTAGTTTTAAAAAGTCGACCACACGTTCATTATTATGCCGCACTATTTCGCCTTAAAATGGAACTGAGCTGGATTTGTTCAAGTTTTTTCATTGATCATATGCATAAATTATTATTCTCTGTACATAAAATGTAGAAGAGTATATTAGGTTTGCGGGAAGTGAAAAATGTAACAGGCAGAAGGAGGCGTGGCAGACCCCACAAGTATATATATTCTTGATCAGCATGACAAGACGAGTCGATCTAGCCTTGTCTGTCTGACTGTCCGTCCGTATGAACACCTGGATCTCAGAGACTATAAGAGCTAGAGACACCAAATTATGTGTACGCTATACGAGTTTGTTTTATTTTTTTGATTTTCCCCCCCACTTCCCCCTATGGGGGTTTTTCCGTAACGCCGTTCCTAGGGATATCAAAAGTCCAAGATGCCTTATGTGAATACGCAGAAAATGTGTTTTTTGGAATTTCCTTCCCTCCCCCCTCTCCTATGCAAATCGTAACTCCCATAGTTCTTGGAATTTCGAGTTTTGCTAAATTTTGCAAATACCCCCAGTTAGTTATTATGTGTTTGTATGCCAAGATTCACTATGGTAGACCGATTTAACAAGAAGTTATAGCCATAAATATATTTGATGCCCACGCGCTGCCCGCAGCTGTTGTTGATGCTAGTGCTTTTGTTGACTGCAAACATGTTTACACAGACACAAATAGATGCGCATAAACATACATAAACTCACATAGACGCAATTGCTATGTAAATGTGAAAATATACACCCTTTACCTGAGTTCGAATACCGAAAGAGGTAAAATCGATCCAAATTCTTTTTAAATATTCTTAAATTTTTCAATTTCTATAATTATTTTAAACATATGTACATGGCATTTCCAAGTCGGGACACCCGACTTTAGCTTTTTTACTTGTTTTTTAAAAGCATTCTGCATTTTTTAATCAAATTTTTAATTTTTTGGCACCCCCCCTTTCGTAAAAGCTGCGTACGCCCTTACATATAGCTGCAATTTTTTAAACTACAAATTGGACATATGAAAGCTTTCGGAGGGATCAATTGCGGTACCGCATACATAGGCACCCTATATATAGGATCTATTCCTGACTCCAGACTCCTCTAGACCTACCCCAAATGACTTACCAGTACAGTAATTTTAATCAAATTTAAGTAGCTGGCTGTCGCCAGCAAATGCTATGAAATACCAGTTTCTATTTATGTGAGATGTGCAAAAATTTGAATTATTGTGGAGTACACACCTCATGTGGATATAGAAGTATGTGTTTATAAAAAATTTAATTAACACCATCATTTTTTTGAATTGCTATATAATTTATACACCTCTAATGTGGCCACAAAATGACATCCTCGGCACACCTGATATTCAAGTACTCGTACAATTAGTACCACGTTTTACAATTAGCTGCGGTGCGTTGTTAATTCTAGTAACAAATTAGCTAAATTTTAAGACGCCATGAGTTCAAAGATTGCAACGGCATTCGATATTAACAGCTTGTTAGGGGTAGAGTGAAAACATTGCTAAAATCGTGGGATGAGGAAAAAGCTATAAAAAGTTTGCTGCTGCCAGCTTCCAATACAAAGCCGATGACGACGATGGACAATTACTAGACAATCGGTGTTAACAAGCCTTTTCGACTGCACACAAAAACATGTGTAAACGCAATATTGGGCAAACTTCTGATATTGCAAGCGTTTCGCAAAGTTTTGCGTCTTTTTTAAATATTTATGACGATATGGACGTGTATAGCTTTTTTTTGTTTAAAATCGTGTGCGGTGTTTAGAAATCAACATCTTGTTTTTTCAATAAGAGGATTTCGTTTCAAAATAAAGACAATAAAAATATAAAAGAAAGATTTTTCTACGGCGGCATTGAAGCTTTAATACTCTTCATTGTCATCGACCCAAAAATGTTAATGTTATAGAAACTCTCTTTAAAACTTATACTCCATAGTCTTCTACTGCAATAAAATGCAAAAGTGGAAAACTGCATAGCTTCAAGAATAAGAATGCACAGCCCTGATTTAAAAAAGTTTGTATTTCTGCAGAAACCTATTTAGATTACATTTAGTTAAAAATATGTTTTTGAATTTGAACACAATTTTCATAAAAATATCCCTTTTTGGCGCAATTTCGGTAGTTATATACATATTTTATCATCATCTCGTTAAAAATTACAAAAACTGCCTTAAAAAATATCTAAGCTTCTTGTAATAGCCAAAACCAAAAAAAATTGTTTGGAGAAGTCAAAATTAAAGATATTGTTCGTTTGTTTCTGGAATTTGAAAGTAATTATTCATCGGAAATAAGTTGCACCTGACCAAACGGTTAATTCTGCATTTTATTTTAGTGTTCTGTTGTGCATTCCTATTCACCGAATATCGTATATATTACCGAATATCGTAAATATTATCGAATATCGTAAATACCACCGAATATCGCAAATATTACAGAATATAGTTGTTGCGCGGTAATCGGTCTACACTTCTGATGACAAAAAACGACTTTAAATTATTAAGCACTTTTTATAGATAAATGTCGTGTGACTAATATCATTTCGGAAACTTGTAGTGGCCTATGAAAGGAAAGGGGTGTATGAAAAAACCCGAAACCAAAATCCGAATTAAATTTGCTATTCTGAAGAGCACTTGCTCGAAATGAATGTGAGAGGAAGGTAATTATAATTATTATTATTTTTTTATTTATTAATTTTGCCAAAATATCAATTCTGTGTTCTTATTTTTAAAAATTCGGAAGCAGTATCTGTTATTTGTAACCCATGAGAAACTCATTTTGAATAATTAAAAACTTCGTTTAACATTTTTCGGCATTAAATTTTATATTTAAAAAACCAAAACATAAACCATAATTTCATATTTCTAAAAAATAGATGTTTTAGCAAAATATAAATATAATTAATAAAATGATTTAATGTTAGAAAAGAACATATAATCACCTCAAGTTATTTTTAAAGACCGGTCTGAGAACACTTGTTTGCGATTGGTTTACAGGTGTACATGTACTTGAAGTGCAGGGTGTATGAAAAAAGCAAAAAGAAATAAACTTGCCGGGCGACTGCCCCGCTGACGAGCCATTAATTGTAAGAGTATAAATAACGGTGGTTTATTCTAAGCCCCCTCATTTATGTGGCGGCCGTGAATGCGTTAGGATAGAAGTGGAGATTGTTCAGCCAGGCGTTAATCGAAATAATTTGAAGCTGAGTTGGTGGTGTCGCGTGTTAAATTCGTGAGCCAGGATTATGGAATTCGAAAACAAGTACAACAACAAACCCGAAATGGAAACGGAAGTGCAAGCGTTTTATAAGAACAAAACCATTTTTCTAACCGGTGGCAGTGGCTTTTTGGGCAAAGGTATAACAAAAATTTGATAAATTCAGTAAATGCGAATGTAATAAATTATAAATACAATTATTGTGCAAATTGATTGATTAACGCAGGAAGTGAATATTACACGTAGAAGTGCTAAGTGCCTGTGTTGAAAGGACAAATGGGTGCTTTGAAACTTTGATAAATACTGCAGCAATGCAATTCAAAATAATTACACATAAATAAATAAATAAGAAGTACATCAGAAGAGTTATTTATTCAAGTCCTTATACTGACGATGACATTTTAAAATAATAATATAATTAAATAATTATAGGGTTTGTTTGAATGCAAATAACCAGCATGGCGTATTAGTAATTCGTCAATTGAAGACAAGTTACGAGGAATTTTATAATCCAACTGACTAATTAAATTTGATTAAATAAAAAACAAACACGACAATTTCAGTTTTGTTTTTTTTTTTTCACTTGCGACTTGAAGCAAAAAGGTAACCTGCCTTTTGAATAGGAATTGATAATTTGATTAAAACTTTTTATTTATTGTTTGCTGCATTAGCCAGTCTATTGGTATTTTATTTTGAAAGTGTAAAATTTTTAAAGGTACATTTTTATGCTAAATTTTATATTCTGGTTTGACCAGCTCGCTAAGTCATAGCCACTGGGTAAACAAATAGGTACATAAATTTGATTTTTGAATTGCTTAATGACCACTTCAATTGTTTTGAGGCTAATAAGTGTCGCAGAGCCGGTTTAAAGTTACAAAGTTTGGTCAATGCCCCAAATTAATAATTTATTAAGATCTGGCATCAAGATGTGGCATTGTCATTATCGTGCGGTGATTGGCCTTCTGATTATGCCCAGATTCAAGGGCGGACTTTGGCAATATGCAATTACAATGTATTCATTACACTTTAACACCAGTCACACAGAGATATAAATTAACAAATTAAACATGCAGCCCAAGAACACTGCACAAAATTTAACTTAAGCCAAAGTAGGGCGGGCCGGACTCTAAAATACCCTTTACCCACTCTTACAACAGAAAAAGAATATTATGCATGTGTGCAGTATAGAGTTGAGCAAAGATCACTAATAGCAGGGAATCGGGAGGGGGTGAACCTAGATACCATATTTAGTTAATGCAGCTCTTGTACTTGCTGCGATCCTAGCCCTTATGCAGACCAAGTTCAAGTTGAATTCAACATTCTAATATCAATTGTGATTGATTTTCAGTGCTACTTGAGAAAATTATGCGCACAACTGAAGTGAAACGCTTGTATATTCTTATGAGACCAAAACGTGGCGTGGAAATACATGAGCGTATTGGCTCCTGGCCCACCGATCCGGTAAGTATTAAGTATGCTAACGAAAAGCTCATTGATTGATTTCATAAAATGCCTTTATATGTATTTATTGTATCTAAATATCATATCGCACAGGTTTTCCAGAATTTGTTAAATGTTAAGCCCAATGCATTTGAATGCTTGGTGCCCATAGCTGGTGACTGTGCGGAACTTGATCTTGGCATTTCCGAGCAGGACAGACAGATATTGAAGAATGAAGTACAGATTGTTATACACAGCGCAGCGACCGTGCGTTTCAATGAGCCGCTGCATCATGCGCTGGACATCAACGTTCGTGCCACCCGCCTCGTGATGGAATTGGGCAAGGAAATGCAGCATTTGGAGTCTTTCGTACACGTTTCCACTGCCTTCTCCAACTGCGTCGTAAACCACATCAAGGAGACTTACTATCCGGAGCTTCTCAGCTGCCCAGCCGCAAAGGTTTTGGAATTGAAAGAGCAGCTGAGTAATGAGCTGCTTGACAAAATGACGCCCGCATTACTGGACAAATTTCCCAATACCTACACCTATACAAAGGCGTTGGCCGAGCACCTGGTCCAGACTGAATCGGGAGATCTACCAATGTGCATCTTCAGGCCGGGCATAAGTAAGTGAAAGTTGAGATGATATCTCGTTAGAAATTTGTAATGTAGTTAGAGAGTGGCCATTAATTATATAATGACACTTCTACTGTTTTTTAATTACACAGTTGGTTAGTCACAGAATTTGAACGTTTTCTATTAGCATTCAGTATTACTAATGACCCTATGATTTATTCTAATTTGATGTTCACCTCAACAGTTATTGCCAGTTACAAGGAGCCTGTGTCGGGCTGGATGGATAATTTGTATGGACCTATTAGTATACTCTATGCCGCTGCTTTTGGAGTGATGCGTATTTGTCGAGTCGATGTAAAAAAAGAGGCGAATGTTGTGCCCGTGGACTTCTGTGCCAATTTGTTGATAGCGAGTGTCTGGAAAACAGCCATTGATGCAAAGAGAGCCAAGGAACAGAAACCAGAGCAGACCCAGAAGGATGGTGAAAACTCAACAAACAATCCCATTCAGAAAGAAGAAGAGCAGAAGACTTTTGGAAAACCAATCTATAACTTTGTGACCAGTGAGCACCACCCTTTAACATGGGGCGACTTTATAAGCAAGGTGTCCGAGCTAGGCCCCGCCTATCCCATCACTAAGATGATGTGGTTCCCATTTCTCATCCCCACCAACTCCCAGTTTCTGTATCAGCTGCTTATTTTCTTTTACCACGTAATACCCGGCTATGCCATCGATCTGATATTACGCTTAAGGGGAAAGCGTCCTCGCATGGTAAAGCTTTACGAAAAGATGCACAAGAATTTCATGATGCTGGGACCTTTCGTAGATAGGAGCTGGAAGTTTCAAACCACAAACATGCAGCGATTGTGGGAACACATGTCAATATCTGACCGAAAGGTTTATGAATTTGACATGACGAAGGTCAATTGGAACGAATATTTTGGTCGAGCGCTTGCAGGCATGCGTATCTATTTGGCAAATGAGGAGCCTGGTAATGAGTCTATAAAGCGGGGCCAAAAAATCCGTGCACGGTAAATATATTGGTGTTATTATTCGGGGATTTATGTATTTATTTATTCTCTAAACGACATTTGTTAATTATTTTCAGATTTGAGATCCTTCATCGTTCATTACAAGTGATCGTCTGCAGCGCCGGCGCGGCTATTTTATGGTCTATGCTCAAATTACTTATCAGTTTCTAGTTGAATTTTATTATATTTTTTTAACATTTAAGGAGTTTGCAAAAAAATTAAAAAAATAATTGTAAGAATATCATTTGAAATGTTTTCTCTGGGAAATTTATTTTTTTATTTTATTTTATTTTTAAGCTTTTTTAATAGTATTAGCATCAGTGAGCTTAAAAATGTTGGTTTTTTTCGAGGTTCGCTGTTCATTGTAATTAAAAACAATACTTAAATACTGAACTTCCTTTTGACCTAAGTATAAGTTTTTCACGTGTATAAGCTATTTGTCCGCATTAACGATTGTGATTAACTAAATAAAAAATCGTTATGTGCAGTGAAATAGTGACGTTTTCTTGTTGTTTACTCTTAGTGTGCTTTTATAGAAACAACAACAACGAAATCCTTTTTCCTCAACTGATATTGTACTTATTTTTGATCGAAACGAGTCGAATTACTAATAAGGAGTCAAAACAAATTTATCCTTGAATTTGTTGAATAAAAACATCGTTTCAAATCAATTTAAACAATTTTGATTAATTACTTTGAGTGCGAGTATTTGAAATTTTTCTTTTTTTAACATTTATTTACAATTTATTAAACCAGTATTCTGCCACCAATATGGCAGCTTCAGCAAGTTGGAAATGTGCTTTTGTAGCATACGCTTAGGCTGTAATGAAAACGCACTAAAATATAACCTTGCTGCTTAAAACTTGGGTCAATGGATCCTACTAAATAGCGCAGTGGCTGAAGATTTTTCTGAAAATAATTAACACGGCAGAAAACGGTCAACAAAGCTAACAACAAATTCAGCAATGACGCCTGCCTTAATGGCGCCTTAAATGTGTGAAAAAGAGTTGAATTTGTTAAGAAAAGAGAACGAATTGTTGAAGATAGAGCAAGATTGCAACCCACTGGCAGAAGTGTGGTGAAAATTATTCGCTTGGTATATGGCAAACGTAAATGGTGGCGTTTTGGGCAAAGGTATAACAAAAATTTGATACATTCAGTAAATGCGAACGTTATAAATTATAAATACGAGTATTGTGCAAATTGATTGATTAACGCAGGAAGTGAATATTACACGTAGAAGTGCTTAGTGTCTGTGTTGAATGGACAAATGGGTGCTTTGAAACTTTGATAAATACTGCCGCAATGCAATCCAAAATAATTTACAAAGTACATCAGAGTTATCTATCAAGTCCTTATACTGAAGATGACATTTTAAAATATGAATATAATTATAGGGTTGTGTGTGACTGCAAATGCAAAATGATTGTCCAGCATGGCTTGTGAGTAACTCGTCAATTGAAGACAACTTACGTGGAATTTTATAATCCAACTGACTAATTAAATTTCATAAAATAAAAGAAAACCAACAAAGCAATTTCAAGTTTGTTTTTTTCACTTGCGACAGTTGAAGCCAAGGCCTTTTTAATAGGAATTGATATTTTGATTAAAACTTTTTATTTATTGTTGGCTGTGTTGTTCAGCCAGTCTATTGGAAGTTTGTTTTTAAAAGTGTCCAGTTTTTTAATGCAGGTACATTTTTATGCTAAGCTGTAAATATCATAAGCACTGGGTAAGCAAATAGTCATAAAATTTAAAAGGTGTCGAAAAACCGGGTTGAAGTTACAAGGTTTGCTTTATACTCCAAATTTATAATTTTCTAAAATTTAGCATCAAGATGCAGCTTTCTCATTATCGACCGGTGATTGGCCTTTTGATTATGCCCAGACTTAAGGTCTGAAGTCTGCCCTGTATACGTAAGGCGAGCTTTTGCAATATGCAGCTACAATGTATTCATTACATTTACATAAACATCAGTCACAAAGAAAAATAATGTAAATATACATTTTCAAGTCGTGCACGTGTTTGCAAATCAAACATGTAGGCCAAGAACACGGCAAAATATTTAAATTCCTCATGGCACATACATACATATGCAAAAAAAGAATTAAATACTAGAGTCGAGCGGGCTCGATTCTTAAATACCCTGTACCCACTCTTGCAATAGAAAAATACAGAGTATAATAATGTTATGTATATGTGCAGTATAGAGTTGAGCAATGGCAGAACTTGGGCAGAGCTTGAGCGGACTTTACATTTAAATATTAAGATGAAACTCGATATGAAGGCAGATAAGCACTAACTGGATGAATTTTTCGAAATTATATCAGAAGTACATGAGTTATGGAAGATTACTAATAGCGGGGGAGCGGGGAACCCTAGATACCATATTTGGTTAATGCAGCTCTTGTACTTGCTGAGATCCTAGCCCTCATACAGACCTAGTTCAAGTTGAATTCAATTGTCATTGATTTTCAGTGCTACTAGAGAAAATTATGCGCACAACTGAAGTGAAACGCTTGTATATTCTTATGAGACCAAAACGTGGCGTGGATATACATGAGCGTATTGGCTCCTGGCCCACCGATCCGGTAAGTATTAAGTATGCTTACGAAAAGCTCATTGATTGATTTCATAAAATGCCTTTATATGTATTTCTTGTATCTAAATATCATATCGCACAGGTTTTCCAGAATTTGTTAAATGTTAAGGCCAATGCATTTGAATGCTTGGTGCCCATAGCTGGTGACTGTGCGGAACTTGATCTTGGCATTTCCGAGCAGGACAGACAGATATTGAAGAATGAAGTACAGATTGTTATACACAGCGCAGCGACCGTGCGTTTCAATGAGCCGCTGCATCATGCGCTGGACATCAACGTTCGTGCCACCCGCCTCCCGATGGAATTGGGCAAGGAAATGCAGCATTTGGAGTCTTTCGTACACGTTTCCACTGCCTTCTCCAACTGCGTCGTAAACCACATCAAGGAGACTTACTATCCGGAGCTTCTCAGCTGCCCAGCCGCAAAGGTTTTGGAATTGAAAGAGCAGCTGAGTAATGAGCTGCTTGACAAAATGACGCCCGCATTACTGGACAAATTTCCCAATACCTACACCTATACAAAGGCGTTGGCCGAGCACCTGGTCCAGACTGAATCGGGAGATCTACCAATATGCATCTTCAGGCCGGGCATAAGTAAGTGAAAGTTGGGATGATATCGCATAAGAAATTAATTATATAATTACACATCCGCTGTTTTATAATTACAACTCACAGTTGATTAGTCACAGAATTTGAACGTTTCCTTTTAGTATTCGGTATTGCTTATAACCCTATGATTTATTCTAATTTGATGTTCACTTCAGTTCAGTTATTGCCAGTTACAAGGAGCCTGTGTCGGGCTGGATGGATAATTTGTATAAACCTATTAGTATACTCTATGCCGCTGCTTTTGGAGTGATGTGTATTTGTCGAGTCGATGTAAAAAAAGAGGCGAATGTTGTGCCCGTGGACTTCTGTGCCAATTTGTTGATAGCGAGGGTCTGGAAAACAGCCATTGATGCAAAGAGTGCCAAGGAACAGAATCCAGAGCAAATAATGGTGTCGAGCATTTGCAGGCATGCGCATCTATTTGGTAAAGGAGGAGCCTGGTATTGAGTCTATGGAGCGGGGCCAAAAAATTCGAGCAATGTAAATATATTGGTGCAATTATTCGGGGATTTTTTTTATTTATTTGTTCTCTAAACGATGTTTGTTAATTATTTTCAGATTTGAGATCCTTCATCGTTTATTACAAGTGATCGTTTGCAGCGCCGGCGCGGCTATTTTATGGTCTATGCTCAAATTACTTATCAGTTTCTAGTTGAATTTTATTATATATTTTTAACATTTAATAGGAGTTTGGAAAACAAATTGCAAGAAAATCCTTCGAAATGTTTGCTCTGGGAAATGTATGTGCTTTATTTTATTAAGAGGTGCTACCTAATGTGTCAGCTTTTATATCTATAGGATTGCACTTAAATCTATGTAACTAAACCAAATACAAACTATTTACATTCATTATATTGAAATTACTTTAGAATATGCTTGAGGATTATGGATTTATGTACATAATTTAAATATGGAATCTTGTGGGGAGATCCTGTGGGTGATACTTTTATAATCTTCTCTTTCTTGGCCTAGAAAGCAGTTGCTTTGCTAGAGCACTGGGTTGACATCCAAGACGTCTCTGATTGTTTTCTGAGTGAGCTTGGATGACATCAACAACCATAGGAACTAGTGCACATACTACGAGTATATACCAAGCGCATATCTCCATATTCGGCTTAGGATAGACTTGTAAATTTTGACCTTACGGTACAGGAACAACTTGTTTCTGGGTGCAAACGCCATCTTTCTATGGTTGTGTGACATTAGTGAGATTTTTTTATGAGTGAGTGTGGAGCCCAACCTTTTTATATTTCTGTAGGACGATGGCTAGCTATATTGCAAATGTGAAATCTACAGGTATTGATACATACACTGATAAAAAAGTTGCATAGTACAGATGAATATTTTCATATTAAATTTAATGTTTCATATTCAAATCAAATATAAACATAGTAAATTTTACTAAAAATATATTTTAATATGAATAATATTCAAAACAAAGTGCAAAACTTCGTTATTAAAGTGTGTTATATTTAATTTAATGTTGAACCATATTAAATATTAATATGCACACACTTCAAAAACCAAATAGGAGACATTTACTATATTCCATAGTAAATTATAATATTTTTCTCAACTTAAATTTGATGTTTTTTGTAGTCGATTCAAATATACTAGAAATATATTAAATTTCAATTGAGTAGAATTCTCAGGTCGGTTTTCAGCGGGCTAGAATTCTCAAGTCGGTTTTCAGTGGGTGTGGTATAAATACAAAGTGTAATCGATTGACATACAGATATGATCGTTAGGTACATATGTGTCAAGTAAGTGTTATTCAATCAGCTGCAGCTCCTCACTTTTAATATTAATATTGATCCAAACTATATCCGTACTAATAAAAAGCATAAAAAATTTAATTCGTAATAACAAAAGAATTTTTAAAATTACTTTCTGCTAAAAATGGTTCTTTAAAAAAAAAAAAAAAAAAAAATATATATATAGGGCTTTCGTTAGGGCTTAGCTTAAATATTAAGGCCAGTTTGTAATCAACTCGAAAAGAAGCACATAGTGCTGTAATAAATATTTTTTTATATCAAATAAACTTAAAATTGATTAATTGGCGCCCGAGCAGGGACCGCGGTATATAATTCGAAAAACATAAGACCATAAGGGTCTGTAGTGTTAAAAAAAAGTCCGCGAGTCAACTATAAAAATCTCGTGATACTGGCTCCCTAGTAGTCTACGTGAAGTAGTACAAAAGGGAAGGACGTAGGTCCTAGCCATCCGGGATCGGTCAAATCACACATATAAAGAACAAAAAGTGCATACAGAAATTATAACGAGAACACAAGTGAATATCGAAATTGTTTAACCTTCATTAATAAATCTACATAAGAAGTGAAAAAGAGTGTATACTGGAAGTAAAAACAAAAAACAAAAAAAAAAAAAAAACAAAAAAAAAAAAAACAAAAAAGAAACACAAGTGAACACAAAACGAAGTTGCCTAAACAGAAGGAAGAAGGAAAGAAATCAAATCAACGACTACAAATTTAAAGACATCCAAACATCCTCATTCCGAATACATTGAAGACAGCCGAGTGCATCTGAAGACAGCCCAATACATCAGAAGAAATCTATCATCAGAAGACATCTATACAACCGGACTATGGCTATTAAGTTATTCCTAGCAACATTAATGTAAGTCGTTGTTATCTTTGTTAAATTATAATTCATTATAAAAAGTAAACCAACTCATATGAACCAGGAAGAAAATTTATCAGAATATTTAGCCAAAATGTCGTTAAACAACATGCCCTTAACTACTAACCCCTCCAGTTCATCCCCACTAACTCTATTTTCGCCATCTCAAAAACTTGAATTAACAAACCTTATTGAGCAAATAGTTCAAAAAGCAACAAATCCGGTCATAGAAGAAGAACAAGAACCTCAAATTGATTTTAATAGGAATTTAGCTGATTCTGAAAAGGTGCCAGATATAGTGAAAAGCCTAAGAGAATTTTCAGGAAAGGCCAGCGAATTCAGCTCATGGAGGAAATCGGTAGACAGAATTCTAAAAATGTACGAAGGTCAGAAAAATTCGCCAAAATACTTTGCTATTTTGCATACAATTAGGCATAAAATTATCGGCGAAGCCGATACTGCGCTGGAGTCATATCGTACACCTCTTAACTGGGTGAGAATTAGGCGTTGTCTGATGCAACATTACGCGGATAAGAGAGATATTGGTACTCTAGAATACCAATTAAACACATTAGTGCAAGGCAGAGATAACATAACATGCTATTATCAGAAGATCTATGAAATTCTTTCACTGATTCTAGACAAAATTGATTGTTTAGAGTATCAGGAAGAAGCCTTGTTGGCAATGACAAACTCTTACAGGGATAAAGCATTAGACACGTTTATAAGAGGATTAAACGGTAACTTGCCAAGTTTGTTAAGTGTTAATAGACCTACAAGCTTGCCAGAGGCCTTGAATATTTGCCTTAAGCTAGAAAATTTGAATTACAGATCGTTTCAGGCTAATACCATGCATAGCAGTTTATCGCAGTATGCCAGACGTGGTCCTCAGCCAAATTACTATAATGGTGTAGGTAGACAATTACCTCCAAGACCAGTCCGTAGCTTTTTTCCGGAGTTAGCTCATTTTGGTCGGGGTAATCCTAGGTTCGCGCAACAGCAACCACAATTTCCACCCGCACTACCGCCAAGACGGCAACCTCCACCTACTCCAATGGAAGTAGATAGTTCAATCCAAACGCGTCAAGTAAACTATCAGAATAGACCTCAACAAAATTTTTCTAACTCAGCAAGACCACAACAATATTTTTCAAATGTAGCAAGGCCACAGCATTTTTTCAATCAACAGGCACCACAAAACTCATACAGGCAACAGAACAACGAAATACAAAAAAGGCCGCATTCACAAATAAGCCATCAACCAAATAAGCAGCAAAGAGTTTTTAATGCAGAAGCACTTGTTCATTATGAACAAGATTACGAACCGGAATATGATACTGATGAGGCAGGTCAAGAATTTGCAGATGAGAAACATTTACAAAAAAGCTACGAAATTGCTGACGATGTTAATTTTTTAGACTAGCTTCCTCCTCATTACCTTATTATGAGTTTGAAATGAGGAATGGAAATAAACTAAAATTTTTGACAGATACAGGTTCAAATAAAAACTATGTTAAGCCAGCACTTATTCGAGAACCCATCCGCAATGAAGTTCCATTTGCAGCAAAGTCGATTGGAGGCGACGTTAATATTACACATCATGCTTATATAGATATATTTGGCAACAACATAAACAAGCAAAAATTTTTTTTACTACCTAATCTTAAGACATTCGATGGTATTATTGGCCACGATACAATGAAGGAATTAAAGGGTATAATTAACACACATAAAAATCATTTTACATTATTAGGGAAGTATAAATTTAACACGAAAGAATTACCAATGACACGCATTGCTAACATAGAACTTAGACTTTCGCATTTAGATGAGAAGGATAGCCAAGTAATTGAAGAAATAGTTCATGAATGTCCAGGTCTTTTTGCCGAACCTGATAAAAAACTCACTTTCGTTACTCAAGTCAGGGGGGAAATAAGAACAAAAACCGATACCCCAGTTTATTCAAAACCCTATACTTATGCTATGGGTTTAAAAGAAGAAATAGACAGCCAAATAAAGGAATTATTAGATAACGGTATTATTCGTCCGTCAAGGTCACCTTATAGTTCTCCAGTTTGGATAGTACCGAAGAAGGAAGATGCGTCAGGAAAGAAAAAATTTAGAATGGTGATCGACTATAGGAAGTTGAACGAACTAACAATCCCAGATAGATACCCAATGCCAGAAATAAATACTATCTTATCCAATCTTGGCGAGAACAAGTTCTTTACAACTATCGATTTAAAAAGCGGGTTCCATCAAATAGCGCTAAAAGATTCTGATATTGAAAAGACAGCCTTCTCAATAAATAACGGAAAATTCGAGTTTTTAAGACTCCCATTCGGGCTACGCAATGCCCCAGCAATTTTCCAGAGAACGCTAGACGACATATTAAGGGATCACATAGGTAAACGATGCTATGTTTACATAGACGATATCGTTATATTTGGAAAAACAAAAGAAGAACATTTCAGCAACTTGCGATTGGTTTTTGAGACATTGGAAAATGCAAATCTTAAAGTCCAATTGGATAAATGCGAATTTATGAAAGATAATTTAGAATTTTTAGGTTTTACTATTAGTAAAGATGGATTAAAAACTAGCCCAAAAAAAGTAAATGCAATAGTTAATTTCCCCAAGCCAAAAACTATACATGATCTTTGCTCCTTTTTGGGAATGTCTGGATATTACCGTAGATTTATTAGAGGATATGCAGAAATAGCAAAGCCATTAACTTCGCTTCTTAGAGGAGAAGCTGGTAGAGTCTCAAAAGCAGTCTCAAAACGAACATTCATAAACCTAGATGCAAAACAGACAGAAGCCTTTAAACAAATTAAGAATTGCCTTATTTCTGAAGATGTTGTTTTACATTTTCCCAGATTTAATGAACCTTTCGAATTAACCACAGATGCATCAAATTATGCATTAGGTGCTGTGCTCTCACAGGGCGGCAGACCAATTACATTCCTTTCAAGAACACTGAGTTCTAAAGAAGAGAACTACGCAACAAAT